CCTCATGTCTGTGTTTGGTGGAGAAAGAGAGTAAGCAGGTCTAAGTTAAGGCCTTGTCCAATCCTTCACGCAAATATTTAAAGAATTTTGCCTTTTCTATTAGTTTGGCTTATCGTCCACGCACAAACTGCGTTTTAGATCACTGAAAATGGATCTTTTTTTTTAGATACTCACAGATTAGTAATAAAGAAAAATATGGCCACAGAAAACAAACAACTCCAAATATTTGACACTGAACACTTATAAAAGGTACCTGAGCCTTCAACAACTAAACAGGGAAAATACATTCAGACTTAAAACAAGGTCTACCATACAAGAGGAATGGGAGGAGATAATTAGACAACAATGGAAAACGACAAGCTCTCCATCCTGGAGGGAATTCAGATGGAGGAATGTCATGCGTTACTTCTGCACTCCTGTCCAGAAAAAATCTCTCTTAAAACCAGACTGTTGGGGATTCATATTTTTTGAGGGTGCCCCTCTGTCACTCCTTTTTGGACAAAAATTCATGGCATTCTTGAAACTGGTTTTCAAGCCAAAATAACTTTTAATTCTGAACTGATGTATCTGATTAGATTGAAGGAACTCGAATGGAGGAAAAAGGATAAATATCTGCTAAGAATATAATTGGTGGTATGTAAGAAATCCCTAACCAAGAAATGGCTGACCTAGTATTACCTAGTACCTAGTATTGATGAATGGATTGACTTGTTATATAATATTTATGTAATGGAGAGAATGGCTTTAAGTCTGTGAACCCAGAGGGAAATTTTTATTGAGAACTGGACGACATGGTTAGTATATGTCTCAAACGTTAGATCTGATATTGTCTGAATAAGTGCTAGAAACAGATCGTGGTGTGACTAATAGCCCGCTACACATGTATGTCTTGATACAACATCCTATATCTATTTGACTGACTAATGAAAAGAGAATTACAAAAAAAGAAAACAGACCTTTTGTAAAACTTTATCAATTTCAGCTTGATGAATTTCAGAAACACCATTTTCAGTGTTGACGTTTAGTCAGAGGAGCCAGAGTTTGTGTCTTGTGCGCCGTTATCTCCTTCCGAAGGCGTCACAAATGACGCAACATTTCATGCAAAGAACAAAGTAGCACTGGCTGCTAACAGGACTGTTCATGTGTTTACACATAAATGCACTTCTCCACTACAATGTGTAACAGAAGCGTCAGAACTCCAGGTCGCCTTTCGGTAATCACTTTTTTCCAGGCCTTTGATTGGCATCTTCTTCTTCTTCTTTGTGTAGCTTCAGAGTTACAGTTATATCACCACCTGTTGGTTTGGCACGCTCTTGCCAGCTCTTTAATTGTGTTTTGCATTTAATTATTTGAACAGAGATGTTTTATGACAGTGCTTGTCTTGGCAGAATTCTTTTTTTATAACGAAGGAGGGGAAAACCCCATTTTCAGAAACACCCATGTGAACCAGGCTGAATTTAGTGTTTGTTTTTGGTGTGTTTCCTTTTCTAATTAGACAGTCAGAGTGTGGCTCAGTTGCTATTTTGAAGACACAGGGGGAAAAGTTTAAAAGTAAGCTGCTACCAAATTATCTTTTTCATCACATGAAAAATCCCTCTACAGAGGAATAAAGGTGCACACTCTGTCTTTTGTCTTTCTTTGACGTCAGAATCGAGGTTTTGCCAAGGAAGTCTGGCTATTGAAGGCGTCTGCTCACAGTTCAAACATCACTTTTCCTTTTAAATATGAGAACAGGTCGAAACAAAAGAACAATGCAATAAGGAGGAAATGGACCAAACTACACAGCTGTCAGCCGACACCAGCAACAGCTTCTTCTTTAGCGAACTCATTAATTAACTGATTAACTTTTCTGAAAAGTCATTGTCGAAGAGAGCAAATACCCCAGGGCCCCAGACAACCAGGAGCCCCAAAGGCTGATCATTAACTGCATGTCTTTTGTGTTTTGGTGAATTTATTATTGCAATTTGCACCACAGAAACACAATATCAACTAAAGTGGGCCCTTTTTATTTTTCCACCCTGCCTTGGAAAGGTGTACTGTATCAAGATCTAGTTTTAATTTACTTAAAATTACTTCTGTACTTCTGCTGAAAGCAACTTGTAGGTGAAATGTTATATACACAAAGCATAAACCAATATTGTCCTAGGGGCCCCATAACAGGTGTAACAGCCTTTGTTTTCAACATGGAAATCAAGTTGCAAAACATATTTTTGGAGTGATCAGCTGCTCTGCTTTTATTCTGACTATTGTGGTGATCGATTCAATCTCTGAATGATGGATGTATAAAGAGAACTGAGTGAAGCGTTGGAGGAGGGCCCTTGTTCATTCCAAAAAAAGCATCTCAGTGGCGCAGGAAGCCATAAAAGCTTGAAATTAGCCGAATCCTTCGCAATGTAGGACCCATAGAGCATGCACACTAGAGATTTACAGCTGCCGGGTGAGGTTAATCAGTTAAGTTCTAGTTTAGCCTTCCATTAAGCTGAATGGGGATAAAACTGATTTGATCAAGCGGCTCTTTAAGACTCTCAAAATGTTACTGAACCATAATGAGAATCCAGACACTTAAACAAGTAATTTATTGGAGGTTGTGATGCTCAAAAATGTATCCAGTAACTTACAGGCGTTTTTATCACCATATAAATTGATGGGAAAAAGTCTTTTTGGGCCTTGTGGAATCACGTGACAAACCCAGAAGTTGTAATTCCACATTTGGCCACTATACAAAATTGACTTCAAAGCCAGGCGCTGTTCCTGGGGGCTTTTTCTGAACCCATCAGCTATCGGTCTGATGACAGTTTAGCCTCTGGGGGCAACGGCCAATATTTCATAAGTTCTGGTGTAGCGTGAGGATATCCAGATAATGGTAACGGATATCTAGGCCAAGACTTCCTCTGCTGTGCGCCAGCCATTGTTTACAGTTTTGGTTAATCTCTAGAAGCAGATATCTCCCCTTTTCTTTTTAAAAAAATAATAAAAAAGCTGATTTGTTGTCAGACAACAGCCGCTGGGTTCCAAGAGCACATTCTGGCCAATGCATTTTGCCTCCTCAGCCTCCACACTGACTTACCTGCATGCCACGAAAGCCTGCTCAAACATTATTGGTGAATACTCAGACTACAAACCAAAATGCCTCAGAAACCAAAATCCTTCTCCACTGCCTACAGATTCTGCACCTCCATGAAACCCAAGTGAAAGAGCTTTTCACTTCCCTGCTTTGACATTGCAGCCTCACAAGTACAAAAACTCCAAATCTGGTAATGATAACATCTCATACTTGTGTTGTGAAAGGCAAAAACACTGCTCCCAAAAGTATCTTGACATATTTATACTATCTTTTTCCTTTCAAAGCTTCTGCAGAACTAACTTTACAAAACACACAAAGGAGTAGTGCGTTTATCTTTGAGGGCGATGAAGGATTTTAACCACTGCAACGCCTGCTGTGATTATATTTGGAGCAGCAGAAGGAGAGGGAGATTATTCTGTTTGGTCTATATCATATATCCTCTAAAAAATAGGCCTCATGCTGCAAGTCTGCAAATGAACACTAACTGTCTCTGATCAGCGCAACGCATGTGAAAACAGTGGAGGGCTGATGTGTAAATATGCTGTGCTGTTTTAATGCCACAGTGTATCTGTGTACCTGAGGGAAGGGGGGATGGTAAAGAGGGAGAAATGAATCCAAGTTATTTTGCAAACATAATTGCAATTTTACACCACACGTCTCATGAAAATGAGATGAGTGTGCTGGCTTGTTTCATCACGCTGTGCCGGTTTTTGCCAACACAGTAACGCCAAAGGCAATGGAAGTGATTGCAGCATAACAGACATGAGAAGTAAGATGCTGTTGAGCTGTAATCAGGTCCAACATGCTTTTTCCACATGCTGTCATTTGATTATCTATCCCTCTATATCCACACAGTGTACTCAGTCATCCTGCCAGTGAGTATGTTATGACTGATCTGCAGGCACATGCTCCTTGTAAACATAAGCAGCTTGCTACTATAGTGAATCCCTACGTGGTGCTTTGGCACTGGATGGACATGTTCAATCAATATAATCCACTTAACTGAATGGACACAGATTACTTCAAGGTTAAACAACCTGGCGTCTGCTGAATGAATTGCCACTGATACGCCAATTCGTGGTATTAAAACATGCTCCATTAGCCGAGCCATTACAGCATTTGGAAGTGAACAATCGTTTATCTATTAGTGTTGATTTCTATGGTTGCATCTGACAAGTTGTTATGATTCTGCAGACATATCCTGGACCCCTTTGTTTACGGGAAGCAGGTGGACTTATCTGCGTCCAGCGGGCCACTTCACGGTCTCTCGTGAACTTTGAGCACGGATGTACATTACCAGGCAGGAAAGGAGTGAGGTTGCATAAAAGCAGAAGACAATGCGGCCAGGATTTGATGCCGGTAAATACTGTAAAGTCATTATGTCTCCAGCCGCCCCCCCCTGGCGTTTTTACTGTTTCATAGTTTTCACAGGAATTTTTCTTCAGCGTCCCACACTGTTCCACAGTGCCAAGTTCGCCACTTCCCGATGACGCACGACAAGCGGACAGGGATGAAGGTTAGGGGTCCCTGCGGAACTTTCACTAATGGACAGACAATCAGGGTTCTATGTTTTACTTTGAAGCTCAATTCTGGCGTCTCTAAACAGCCATCCTGTTATGTCTTAAGATCACTCTGGGGATGCGAACAAAAATGTAAACTTTTGGAAAAATTTGCGCCTAAGCAGATAAAAGCTCCTTATGTAATTTTAGAGGAAATGCCAAAGTAGATTGTCTTTATGTAAAAGCTACTGGATCCCAGAAGGAACATATGGCAATAAAACAAAGCGTTATTGGTTGACTTTAAAATAAAAATCCAAAACATACACTCAGACAAATCACGCCACACTGATTGATGCGCAGTACCAATAAAGTCCTGAACACCCCACGTTATTAACAATTCCCACGGTTTATCCACTCACATTAAACAGGGGTCTCACCTGAAGCTGCGAGTCCAGACAGGACGGTGAGGAAATAGAGCCCCTTTACGCACATTGGATGGACGGCACTTCTGTCCGATGACCAAGAGACCGGGAGTCAACAAACCCGCTGAGACTCCTCCGCCGACTCACAGTGGCTGAAAACCCGAGCTATAACTCTATGAATCCCCTTCTGAGTGGGATATAAACATGGAAGTTAACGCCGAGTCCTCTCCTCTCCTCCACCTTGTCTCTCTCCAAAGACGCGTCCCAACTCGCCGCTGCCCTCATACGTTTCATCTCAGCACCCTCCCACCACAATTTTCGGGCGGAGTAACAAAGTCATCCACTCTCCTCGCTGGCTCCTTATCTCTCTCTCACATGTTGAACCCAAAAGCCGACACATTCCTGATGCTCCCCTAACCTGTTCTGCTGCTGCGTAAAACACATTTGCACCCGTGGCTCCAGAATAGTAAAGCTGTTGCGCAAACACCTGTCCAGAGTGGCTCCCCAGTCAGTGGTGTGGAGACAGTGTGTGCAGATACAGTGAATAACCTAAACTATAATCTGGTGTTTTATGATGCGATGTATCGTAATGTCATATACTAACATGAAATATACAGCCACTCTGGACACTATGACACTGTAAGTGCCACATTAAAAGCACTTCATGCTTCTTTATGATGTCATAGATGATTATAGATTGTAGGATGCGACATTGTTTTAACATGTTTAATGATCACATTTCATTAATTTAAATGTTTTGACTGTAATCATCATATTAAATAAAAAAAAAAAGTTAATGAAACCAATTCAGTCTGAGAGCAAAATGGTTAAATTCCACTTCACCAGTTTTTTAAAATGTTAACAGTATCCCAGTAAAGTGACTGGTTACCGGTTTTAACCACTGGGGGGCAGTGCTGCACTTTGATGTACACCAGTGTGAGGCCTGTCAGAAACATCAGAGGGGCTGGTTCTCCACCTTCATGGCTGACATGTTGACATGGTTGGTTTAAGTTAGAAGTTAAATCTCTCTAAGTAAAAAAGAATGACGACAATGACGACAATGACATTAAACTTCACAAACGGTTTATAAATCTATAGTCGATTATAAAAAGTTGACATTTTCTCACAGCCTTTGTTGTGGCCTCTGTGGGTGTTTGACATTTTCAAGTATGAGCTGCAGCTTTATAACTCAGCTCAGCTTTATTTACATAGCACCTTTCATCCAAGGCAAAACACACATGGCAAAACTGGAGTGGCACAGACACAACACGATAAAATATTAAAAAAAGTATACCAACCAAAACAGAACAAGCTAACAAAAAAGATGATGGAAAATCCATAGAATAAAAAGAGAGTAAATAAATAAATAAATAAATAAAATAGAATATAAAGGAACAGGAGAGATTAGAAATAAAGGTAAAAATCAGTGGTTACAAATCAAGGCTGTTATGTAACTCCACATTAAAAGCCACATTAAAAAGATAGGGTTTAATTTATATTTAAAAATACCAAGATAATTCACCATTTTAATATCCAGAGGTAGTGAATTCCACATTTTAGGGGCGTAAAAACAGAAAGCACTCTCAGCAGGACTTTTATGGGACACATGAGGAACATTTTACAGCAGTGGAGGACCTTAGTGATCTGGCTGGAACATAAAATGATAGAAAATCTCTGACGTATGGAGGGGCGAGGTCTTTTATAGCTTTATAAACAAGTAAAAGAACTTTAAAATCACTTCTTAAAGATACAGGGAGCCAGTGTAGTGACCTTAGCAGTGGGGTAAGGTGATCCATATTCCTTGTTTCCTTGTTTTAGTCACTCTGGCTGTAGTTTTCTTCTTGACCTTTTGGGTAGTCCAGCAAAAAGGGAATCGCAATAGTCTAAACTGCTGGTAATAAAAGCGTGAGTGAGTATTTCGGCATCTTTCTGGGTTAAAACAGGAGTCTAAAACTACTCCCAAGTTTGTAATATTAGTTTTAATGTGCTTGCTGCAGCCACCAAACATAAAGTGCAGTTTCTCTCTCGCTGCTTTTGGTCCAATTAAAAGTTTTTTCTTCATTTAGCTTTAAAGAGTTTTTACCCATCGGTACATTAATGTCAGAGAGGCAGGCAAACATATACAATCATGAGGTGAGTTTTAAAATGATGAATTGAAAACCAGCATGTGGTAGCACTTTCAAATAATCGGTTTACATACACATAATAATCATGCAAAAAGAACAGTATTAATAACAGTTGTACAAAGCTACAGCAGAGTGCACTGAATGTTATCTAACGCTCAGTTATTGGTCCATACAGACTGTATAGGGGAGACCGGGGATGGTTGTAACAAAGGGATAGTTGTAACACTCTCAGTTTGGCCAATTAGAAACGAGCTGTGGTGACATCATCAACATAGTCCATGCCCATTTACAATTGGAGCTCACTGGTGAAGCCGCATGTCTCTGAGTCCAAATTTGTCTGTTCTAGAGCCAAAAAACAGTTTTTCAGGTGGGAAACCAAACATTTTCATCACAGTTGTTTTTTGCATAGTGTCCATTGTGTTGTATGTACAATTGTTTCACTTACATAGGTTCAAGTAGTAGTTTCTCTAGTTTAATTTGATGTGTTTCATTAGTGCTAGCTTTGAAGCTAAATGCTAAAAACGGTTAGCTCTTTCATGGCTGCTAGGCATGGGGAGGGTTGCAACTCTTTGAAAGTGTTTATTGTTGTTAACTGTTAAAATGCTGTTCAAACATCAACCTCATTCAGGCTACAACGCGCGCACACACACACACACACACACACACACACACACAGGTTAATACTTTATTATTCTTGATTTTATTTATTTTATGTTATATATTTTTATTTATTTTATTGTACTTATTTTTGTATTTATGTTATACATTTCTATTTATTTTAATATTATTATAATTGTATTCTTACAAGTTTATTGTTCCTTCTTTATTATTCATTAAAGTGCTTGAATACATTTAGCCTATTGTGAATCTTTTTTAAGCACAATAACTTAATTGTTACATCCATTCCCAGCTAGTGTTACAACTCACCCCAGTACTGGGGTACGTTGTAACAATATACCTCTTTGTATTTGACATTAATTTCCATAATCTGTGATGGTGTAGTAGAGGTCAAAGTGTGCGTTATAGCAGACAAATATGGGTACCACTTATCAAAATTTAAGAGCTCTAACAAAAAACACCACTGAGTTACACTTGCTCAAACAAAAAGTGTTAAAATCATCCCCGGTCTCCTCTACTGCTGTGTAGAGACTATGGGGAAATGCATACAGTTTAAGCAGTTTACCAAGAGTGGTGTCAGGGTGCACAGGTCATAAGTAAAAACAAAAACAAATAAATAAATTATTGGTAAACATACAAATGCAAAGTATAATTCAAGTTTTTATTGGATTGAAAGGCTTGATAAATGGCATACATATATTATTCTCCAGGCATACAGGAAGATCCAGCACCCTTCATCACATAAGGAGATGAAGTGGAGAAGGTCTTTACATTTAAGACCCTGGCGATCACCATCTCCCAGGACCTTACCTGGGCTGCGAACACCACGGGAGTGGTCAAGAAGGCCCAGCAGAAACTGCACTTTTTAAGACTGCTCAGTAAAAGAAGACTAAAAGACAACCTGCTGGTGACCTTCTACTGCTCCACCACTGAGAGTGTGCTGGCCTGCTGCATCCAACAGGAAGGCCCTCCAGAGGGTTATCAGGACAGCAGTGAAGGTGATCGGCCGTCCCCTGCCCTCTCTGGAGGACATCTCCAGCTCTCTGTGCCTCAGTAGAGCCAGGAGGATCATCAAGGACCGTTTCCAACCAGGAAATAAACTCTTTGCACTGCTGCCCTCTGCAAGGTGCTATTCAAGGCATTATATTCTAATACAAGGCACTTATTTCTTATAATATGGAGGTGGACTCCAGTAGATAAAGAAACTAACAAATATGTCTGGGAGGAAAGAGAAGGAAACAAACTAACAAACAAAAACAAGTCTCACATATGTCCCCATACTTCACTCTACAGGGTCACATAGTCACAGAGCAAGTTCATAATGATGTAGGCTTATATACTGTTTTGATATGAGTCCATAACCGATCCCAAGCATATGCACCTTTCTCCTGATCGCCATTTATCCTACTGAGCATACATTCATAAGATGCTATTTCCATCTTTGCATTAACCCATTATTTTGTCTTTCAGTGTCTTAGAATAATTCGACAGACAGTTATAAGATCCACAATAATAACAGAAATTGCACACTTGGATACGTTTGGTATTTGCAACGGATCCCCCAGTAATCACAACTTTGGACTTTTTTCATTTCTGAACCAACTAACAACTTAAAATTTCTAATACTCTAATCCAAAGTGGTCTGACAAAACTACATCCCCATATACAGCGCAGGAAAGTTCCTATTTCAGTTTTACATTTCCAACAGCTATTGTTATTTAACCACTTTATTCTGCAGAGTCGTAACGGTGTATGATAATATCTACACAGTACATTATATTGTGTGAGCTTCCCCCTGGCTTCTTTCACATACAAATGCAATATAGAGATGATTAGTGGATTTACCAAACTGATCAAAGTATCCTTGAGGAAGATACTGAACCCCAAATTGCTCCCAATGGCTGTTCCATCAGTGTGCAAGTGTGTCAAAATCTGAGTAGCATGTGGCACCTTGTATGGTAGCCTCGGCCACCAGCGTATGAATGTGTGTGTGAATGGGTGAATGTGACTCATGGTGTAAAAAGCGCTTTAAGAAGTCGGATGACTAGAAAGGCGCTATACAAGTGCAGGTCTATAAACCATTTACCAACCCACCCGAACTAGACACCAAAAACAAAATGGAAGGATCCTACATTATATTGTTACATACGTATAATTGTTCTAAACATTATAATCTGCAAATGGCAAAGTTTTACTCTAAAACTACAAAAGGGAGCCACAAGAATTATTACCAGACCAGATCATAAAGTCATAACGTTCTGATACACATTAAATAAAACACAATGACTTCCATTAAATATTCACAATATGTTTTCAAAGTGATGGAGTATTATGAAATCTTATTGTTGTAGTTGTTGTTGTTGTTGTTGTTGTTGCTGCTGCGATGACTTGTTGCTGAAGCTGTTGTGAATATGTTCTATTTTGTAATTGTGTTTTTTTTATATAATAGTGTCTTTAAGCAGAGAAATTATTCCTCTGTTTCATGCCCAGGGACTCTGGTGCAGCTAAGTAGCTGTGCACTGTCCCTGTTAAATAAATAAAATAAAGAAATAAATAAAAGTTTATACACATGATGGTAAGTTTTACCTTAATAAATCAGCGTCAACATTCATATTTACAACTGTTAAATGTTGATTTCAGCACTAGCATCTAGGTAGATCAGGCAAATCCTATTGAGATCTCATTTTTAGTGAGACATGAGCACAAAGAGACAATTCAAGATATTTGAATATAAAAATATGATGCAAAATATATAATTAAAATATACATTAAAGCATTTATAATGAAAATATAGGTAATTATTACTCAGCACAGCTTCTCTCTGAGTTTCTGATCAGGAGTACATAAAGGAGCATCTCTACACACCATAGTCATTCAGTTCGACTTCATTTTGAGGTTTAACTGTGAATTCATCTTGAAAAAAACGCTTCCTGTGGGGCGCAGCTTGTGTGTGTGTGCGCGTGCATGTGTGTGTTAGTAGGCAGAGAAAAAGTCAGAGGGAGAACCATCGAGTCTGTTTCTTTCAATCCTCTTGTTTCGTTGAACAGGCAGCTTGATTATAATTTTATTTTTTTTAACATCTTGCAGTGGATACATTCACAAATCTGATCAACTGAGTAAAAAGCTTTACAGAAACAAGACAAAAAACAAAGGTCATCTCAAGAAAATCAACAGCATGGGTGTCCGGGCCACACTCGCCGTCCTCCTCCTGTTCATAGCCACCGTCGAAGCAGGTGAAGGTAAATTTCAGTTCTTTATTCTGTTGTATTTTATCTTACTTCATATTTTAAAGTCAGAAAGTTTCAGTAGATTGGTCTGACTGAAGATGTGGCATTTCAGAGCACCTTCTCCAATTTCCTGTATTTCATTTCTGCACCTTCACTGCTCTGACTACTGTGTTGAAAAGTTATCTGTATGTTTCACCTCACTGGATTCTGTGGATTCTTTTATTCTGATGTTTTGATATACTTTAGTCTGTTTTGTAGTGTAGTATGCCAAATAGTTGCCTAAAAATGTTGGCTATATGGGTATGGATACATTTCATTTTGACATCTAGTCGTATTTTTGTTATTTATTGAGGACTCTTGTTGAAAATATTTCACTGTATGTGAGACATTACTATGATGTAATGCACCGTAACACAGGGAAAAAACATCAGTCTAATGTGCATAAGACGAGCTGAGTCTTGGAAACCCACCTCGGCTCTTTGATCGTCCCCATTTGTCTCTGAGATTTAATGTGGACGAAGAGTCCTGATGAAATGAAAATCTGAAGTAAGTACACTGAAGTAACTCGATACCTGTCTGTGTGTTTTAAGGACAAGGAAAGGTAGAATTCTGGAAAGAAACTTTCACAATGTTCTGCCCAGAAAACGGGACTTGGTTCAAGAAAGGAGCCAAAGCACTCAGTGTGGGAAAAGAGTATAAACTCACATATGATGGCACAAACAAAGGCTCATTCTACTGTGAATATGGCACAACAAAATATTATTTCTACGTGAAAGGAAAGGGTGAGTACAAAACTGTAACATTCCTCATGATGTGCAGTCTGTGTTTTTTGTCCTTACTGAGCTTTCACTTGTTCAACTGCTGATCTTTGTCCTCTAGCATGTGAAAACTGTTTCGAGCTGGACGGGAGGTTGTTTGGGCTGGTCATTGCTGTGGACGTGTTGGGGACGGCCGGTTTGATGATCTTTATCTTCAGTTGCACCAAGAAGAAAAGCTCAGCTCAACCTTCTCACACTTCCAAAGGTGAGAATGCACTCAAGCAGCCCACAAAGAACGCAGCGTTACGCTACTTCACACACTGCTTGGTTGAGTTAAAGGTTATCTAACGTCACTCGGACCAAAGCACTTATGATGCATCCTTTAGCACTGACACATGCTGGTTTTTCAGTGAGACCTACAGTACATCCAGTTGATAAAAAGAAATGCTGATGCAACTCAACAAATGACTGGTGACACATGTTTCTGTGTTATCGTCTTCTAGCACCTGCTCGTTCAGGAGGCCGGGGTCCACCTGTCCCAAATCCTGACTATGAGGTAGGTATTGTATGTGAGCTCCATTTTCAGATGCGTTTTACTTTTGCATTTGTTGCATTCAGCTGATTGTTTTCTCCTGTTTGACTCCAAATGAGCGCAGCAGTAATCTTCAGTCATGTTTCAGCCAGATATTGTAAATAGCGCAAACACAAGATGAAAAACGTGTTTGTAAAAGAATCATAGAAATCAAATTAAAGCTTTGATTAGCGACGGCAATTTCACCAATTCATTTTTAAAACCTCAAAGGAGTGGTTAGACATTAAAACATATACTGATTCGCTCTTTGGGCCTTTTTGTATTTCAGAGTCTGAGCCAAGGTTTGGATTTTTATTGCATTGTGTACATTTGATCCAGTTAGTTTAGGCTTTACATTGCAATAATGCAAGCAAACTAAAGAGCTATACATGACGTACCCGCGTCTCCCTGTACTTGACAGTGATTGGTTTGTAGACAGACTCTCCCGTCCTCTTGTATCCCTTCTCTCTCATCCTCTCGGAGAATAAATATTGAGTTTCCTTAAATGCCTAAATTCCTAAGGTCAGTGAAACATCTGGTGGCTCTTTCTGTTTTGTTGCATTGTTTTTCCTTAGAACTTACTGTGATTGGTCCGAACCATCCAAATAAAACGTTGGCAGATGCTATTAGCACCCTGGTGTCTGTGACCAACAATGCACCCAATTACACTTGGAACTTGGAATTATGATGTTAAAATAAACGGGTCTACTGCACTGTAAACAGCGTGCGTTCTGCAGTTTTGTACATCCTAAAAACTAAAAATAATAAGTCAGCTAAATCTAAAATTGATAAGCTAAGACCCACACAAGATTCAAACCTCAGTGCCTCACCCATTCATCCATCAATTCTTCCTCCATACACGGACTTTACTGCTATTTATACTCTATATATACACATCACCTGACTTTCTCACAGTAGATTATCAGTGTTTTCTCATAAAGCTACGACTTTAACCTCAGAGAATATCCGAGATTAGCTAGTTTTAAGTGTAACCATGATCTCTGTGTCCTAACTGTAACTGCCTTCAACCTGGACACAATGACATGATGAGAACCAGCTAATCACAGCGCACAGTGGGATGCGTAATAACCGGTCGTATGGATAGGTGTAAATAACGGAATAGATGTGACACTCTGTAAACGTTTTCACAGTAGAAATGAACCGAACCTGACTGAGACCACCTGTTTCTAATGGACCAAGGTTTGGCTTTTTAGTCCATGATGCGGGAGGGTTTCACACCTATAATTTTGGTTTGGATCAATCAGAAAGTCTGAACCAAACAAAGCAGGGGTGAAAGGGCCTTTAGATCGGCACCACAGGTAGGCTGTGGATGGTTAGCATAGGTCATCAAGAGTAGGAGAAGGGAGACAGCTAGCCTTGCTCAGTCTGCCTACACCGAAAGCTCTATAACCAACACAACATAAATATAACTTGTTTAATCTGTAGAAATATCAAAGTTTAAAAGTTACTCCAGGAAGTCACTTTGCTCGGCCGAGAAACAGTCAAGCACGTAATCCCTCATAAAATCTAAAATCTTCTCATCTCACGCAGCAAAAGAAGCAAACTTCCTCAAAACTGTCCTTTTAAGTAAAACAAAACGATTTCATTTTCAAACTGAATGTACTAAATATAATTGAGAGTAAAACCCCAACACACTAATCCATGTAAAAGCAAGATGGCAGCCATCTCTGCCAAGTCGGTCTGCAGCAGATCCCAACACAAAAGTGAACAAAACTTGATCACATTTTATGGTTGGAACTTGTTTATGATTAATAATGTTTGTGGTTTGATATGGCAACAAATTTGACCAATTGTAGCGACATTAACAAGCAAAGACGCAGTTAATTAGGAAGTACTTGTTTGAAGACTTTATTTTTCGCCTCGTTTGAGAACGCTGGGACTGAATTATCATTCATGTTTTGTTTTTTGTAAGTATTGGGTCTCACTGATCCCAAAAAGTTAGGAGAAATAAAAAACGCATGCCAACCAAATGTTTGGGTCTCAGGAAGTTTGTGTGCATTGTGATCTAACCTTCTCAAAAACAAAACATTTCACACATCTTAGAAATCTTGTGATTCTGTGACTCTAACGCTGTTTATGTTGTGTGTGTTGACAGACACTGAACTTGCAAAATCGCGCCCAGGATCATTACTCCTTCTTGAACAGGACGGGACAGTGACAAGCCACCTGACATGAACATCAGTCATGCTCCAGGTCGCATGCAAACACTGGCTTTTGCTCTCTTGGATTTAAAGGGTTGCTTAACCCAAATGGCATTGAAAAAAGAACTCACTTACCCCTGGTATTACTTAGCCAGGTAGTGTCGTTTTCATTTGTCCAGGTCGTCTGCCACCACTGTGATTCATTACAGGTAATGGCATTTAGTTAATGGAAGCAGTACAGCAAAGGGTTAACCTGTCTCTGCAAGGTCAAAAAAGATTGGCAACTGCTTTAGACTGTTTTAGATTTAATCTTTCAATAGTGTGAGTACTACAAACAAATTCTCATCCATGTCAGTGGTGTGGAGGCAGAAATCTCGGAGACAGGCATCTGGACAAATAAATGCAAAACTATCTGCATGGCTAGATACCATGAGAGGTTAAAGGAATACTTTACCCACAAAATGACCATTTGCATATCAGTTATACTCGCTGCATGTTACCTTGAACTAGTTGAGAAAACACTGTTTTTCTTGCATGCCTCCGAGGTGAGCGGAGAATCCACAACTTTGAACATTCTTCATGAATTGAGGTAAATGGGGACCTGGTTTCACAACAGCAAGACTATATCGCACAAGGGTCCATGTCATTGGTTCGACAGCCCATTGGTTCGACATCCCATTAGTCCGACTGTCCGCAGTGCTGAACGGCTCGCGGTGGATGTATGGTGCACCGCAACCGGCTTGAGGCAGAGCAGGCTCACGGCTTATGTGTTTGTCACTTTCTTTTTCATTTTAACCCACACCATGATCTTTTCCTGACCCTAACCAAGTGGTTTTTGTGCCTAAACCTAATCAGACCTTAACCACAGGGCATCATGATGATTTTGGAACAGACATCGGAACAATGGGTTTAATATGGTCGGAACAATGGGATGTCAAACCAATGGGCAGTTCCCATTGCACAACTGGTGCAGTAGAATCAAGCGGCAACCTCCGAGGCTAAAAAAAATGAAGCCATCGCTTAAGCGCCAACAACTGCAGTTCCTTAAATGGCCACTTGAGGCTGGCTCCAGAAGCCAGTCAATCGTCATAGACACCAATGTTAAAATGCCCGATTTCACAGCAGAATTAGACATGTTTACAGCCTCGAACTAAAAAATGTTTTAGTCTCTAAAGCAAATTTCCCCCATTCATGACAACTGTACAGGGGGTGAACTTTTATATAACTCACCCGTTAACATTTTATTAAGGCTTAAAGTTACCCATTATTAAAGATAGGTAACTTTGACACATTGTCCTCTTGTCCAAATATGGTCACATCTAGCTGCAAAAAGCCAAGATGTGGATGGCTGAAATGCCGAACTTGAGGCTTCAAAACCAATGGGTGACATCACGTTAGCAAGGTCCATTAATTTATTGAGTATAATCCAAGTCTCATTTATCTAGTCGATGCTCAGTACTTCCCAAACACATGCATTTTCAATAAATGCATGCGTTTCAACTCTGCTCAAGCGTAGCTCATATACATGGTATCCTCAGACATGCTCAGGACGAGCTACTCATTGGTGGAAGTGTTTCATATTGATTTACATTTTAGCATAAATGTGTAAATGTGTTTGGGAAGTACTGAGCATACGACTGGATAAATGAGACTTGGATAATACTGCACATAAGTCGTGTGAGAGTACGAAACTGATATTTTGATAGTTAGCTGATGTTAAACGTAATCGCCAATGACTTTAATCACGAAGAATGTTCACACTTTTTGGATTCTTGGTTCACCGTTGAGGAATACAAGAAAAACAATGCTGTCTTCACAAATTCAACATAACACAGGGTGAGTAGTTGTTAAACAAATGCTAATTTTGCAGATGAAGTATCCTTTTGAGTGAGAAAACACGGGGGCAGTTTAGTAAACATAATGTACATACAATGTCCTTTTTTTGTGGTGTTAATTATGTTTTAGTGCTGAGGTCATAGTTAGTATAATTCTTTTTTTTATAAATATTTTTTAAATAATCTGCTCCTCTCATGTGTGTAAATAAGAGAAACATTTCTCAGTATAATGCAGTCTAGTACAACAGCACAGGACTCGAGGCACATGACTTGACTCAAGTGGCAAATTTGAGGACTTGAGACTTGCTTTGCTGACACTGATGAAAGACTTGACTTTGGTGTGCATGACTTGAGACAGATGACTTGAAAGGACTTGACTTTTTTATCTAATATTTGTATTTTTCTGGATACTGGGAAGTTACATTTTGTGTTTAAAATATGATGACGCACATGTCGCAGCGGGAGATGAAAATGTATTTTCTTTAGTTCAATGACTGGCTCATAGTCCCAGCTGTACTTGTATATTTTTATATGTTTCGAGTGCAAAATCCTAATTTGTAAAGTAACTAGTAACTAAAGCTGTCAGATAAATGTAGTGGAGTAGAGACAGGCGATGTTATGAGAAGAAAAGACTTTGCACTTGCAGTACCTGAGTAAATGTATTTAGTTACATTCCACCACTGGGTGCAGCTTATAGTGAATATGACTTGACTTGTGACTTGCTTGACCTGACCAGTGACTTGACTTGACTTGCTTAATTTTCACCGCAGTGACTCAGGACTTGCTTGAGACTTACTCCCACCTCTGCCTCTAACTCTGGCCTTACTAATGACCATGATTAAATTTATACAGCTGCTGTATTGGATCACAGCAGATTGTATAGGTGTATAGGTGTTTTTTTTTGTGGTGTACTGACCCTTTATATAAAAGAGAACCATCTAATTTACAGTCTTGTATAAAAATCATATTGTCATTTGAAATAGAGAGATACTGGTCTACCTGTTTTCTGTACATATATGTCAATGTCATTGTTAGTTCTGACCTTGTTAGAAGAGCAGCTGTTTGTCAGACGTGTAAAATGTTACCACACAAGCTTATTTTGTTCATCACATCAACTCGCTTCCTGTCCTTTTTTTTTTTTTTTTTTTTTTTTTTTTTTTTTTTTTTTTTTTTAATCTTCATTTTTTCTTTTTTTTTTTTTTCTTTTGATGCCTGTGGAAAAATATAACATTGATATACAAACAGTATTACAGTTTTTTATTGCATTTGATTTTTTTTTTTTTTTTTTTTGCTTTTTCATTTTAATCTGCAGCGCTCATCTTCTTGTTACTGTATTGGACAAGCGTGTCACTAATGAATAAACCACAGTCAACTCTGTTCTTGTTTTTTTTTCTCTGCTCATGGTCGGAAACAACACCGAGGGGTTTCTATCTACAGATGTATCCGTGTTAGATTCATGAAGTGGCCCCGAAGCCGCAGCTCACATCCGTAGCACACCCACAAGCACATGATCACCATCAATATGTCTTCATCGCTAGAGTCTCTCTTGTGTTAGTGACATGCCATGCTGTTGTTGGAAACATTTGACACATATCTGAAATCTATGCATAAATGAAAATGGATTTCATACTCATAGTACACACAGTGGAAATGTTGGGTCATGTTTTTTGCGTTTTGTTTTTCCCAGCAGTGACAGGGCACAGCTTTAACGGTGGAAACAAAAGCTGGAAACATGACATAATATTTCTTCTTCGTGCAAATAACTAATGATTGATAAGTCTATCATATTGCGAGCAGCTCCAAGGTGTAGTGTTTAATGGAAACACTCCCACACTTACTGCTACAGTTATCTTCATCGCACATCAGCTGTGTGTTTGTGTGAGAGAGAAACAAAGAGGTAGAGGGGAAGAGGAGGGGGGGAGGTTGTATACAATGTGCTCCTCTATCTGACTGTCTTAAGTCAAACTGTTCCCACACACAGGCCTACATCTGTTTGCTTAAGATCATGCACGAACATTTACGTTGTGCGAGGGCACACACACAAGCGTGTAGCGAGTACTTGAAAGTGTGTGCACATGCACTGAGTCAGAAGTTGCTTGTGTGTGTGTGTGTGTGTGTGTGGGTCGTGTTTCAGGGTTGTGTTTCTGAGCCGAGCTGTCTAAGCTTCGTTGTTTGATCTCTCTTCTCTTCCTCAGGTAGAAAACTGCAGTTTGTAGCTCTGTCCCCGAAGCGTCAAGAAGACTCTGAGCAGTGATCAAAGAATTTAAGTTATAAGATTATCTGACATGGAGGGGGGCGCTTCCTCTTCCTCTCAGATAGCTTCTCTCCTCCTCTTCTTTGTTACTATTTTAACCTTTCCGTCTTTTTTTGTTACCTTCCTCTCTGCTCATCTTCACAATTGTTGTGTAATTCTATCTGTCACTGCTATCTCTGTGTCTCTCTATATTCTCGTCTGTTTCGTATATTTGGTGCAACAGACTGAAATAGACCTCCGAAAGATTCTCATCTTCATGAGATAATGACAGACTGCAGCAATAACAAGTAGTGGAGGAAGTATTCAGTACAAGTACTAATACGATAATGTAAAAATACTCATACCCTGAATTTAAGCTTGTGCAGTGTGTAAGATTTAGTGGCGTCTCGCAGTGAGGACTGCAGATTGCAACCAGCTTAAACGTCTCCTGGTTAGAATTCCTTCATCGTTCATTGTTCAGGAGGTTTTTACCAGGAGCCGAATTATCTGCAGAGGTCTCTTCCTCTCCAACACAAACAGACCAGCTGATTTAAACCAGTGAAGTGACCGAATAAAGCAGTTTCAAGGTTCAAATCAGTGTTTTTCCAATGATATTTGGTTTCTCGAAGATGGGTTGCTTGCTCAGCACCTGCTAACTTGTGACTCACCTTTTCCTCTGAAAACTGAAGCCAGACATTCAGGAGGTTTTTAACATGAGTCAGATAATCTGCAGAGGTCTCATCCTTTCCAAAACAAACAGGCCCAGTGATTTAAACCTGTAAAAACACTGAATAACTAATAATAATCTTCATTTATAAAGCCCTTTTCAAAACAAAGTGCTTTACGGGAACTGCCCATTGGTTCGACAGCCCGTTGTTCCGACCATATTAAACCCATTGTTCCGAAGTCCGTTCCAAAATCATCATGATGCCTTGTGGTTAAGGTCTGATTAGGTTTAGGCACAAAAACCACTTGGTTAGGGTCAGGAAAAGATCATGGTGTGGGTTAAAATGAAAAAGAAAGTGACAAACACATAAGCCGTGAGCCTGCTCCGCCTCAAGCCAGTCGCGGAGCACCATACGCCCACTGCGAGCCGTTCAGCACTGCGGACAGTCAGACTAATGGGATGTCAAACCAATGGGCTGTTGAAGCAATGACATGGACCCAGTGCTTTACATGTCGATAATTAAAACAGACAAGACATGAAAACAACTTTAAAAAGAACTGATAAAACCACTTTAGTGTATAATTTCTACTGTCTATTTCACAAATAGAAGGAAACATTGACGCAGATGGGTTTGCGTTCTCGAAGGCATATAGCAGATGACAGCGTTTGTATTTCAATGTGTTTTCTTCGAACACAGGCAGATTTCTGAAGGAGCAAGTTGAATCACTCACAAGCAGTGGTGGCTGCTGGTCTTTCAAACAGGGGAAGCTCACTTTAAGTTTACATCATAAAATGTGTCATATTGTAGCGAGGCAGTAACTTATAAAAGGAACATTCAATTGAAGCCGTTTTTCAACCACATTCATGCCACAGAACCACAGCAAAACACACCTCAAAGATTTTCAGATGGGTAAAAATGAGCTATATGGCTTATGGAAATAAGGAACTCTGGACGGCACTCTGTCAGAAGACTCCACTCGCCGATGCCAGTGTGTATTTCCAAAGCGCTGTCAATCACAAAGGGGTTCAGCCTTTTAGACAATTCCTCCAATCATCATGCATACGCCGAGCGTCCTCTCCCGCCTACCGCTCCATGGTGGTAAACGCATCCTAGCGCACGTTTAATGCAATGTAAATTCTTATTTTAATGTAAATTCAATAGTGCATATTTGACCATTTCTTCTATTAAATTTTAGGGGAAGTTCAGCCTCCCTTGTTGTCTCAGAGCAATAGCCCCTGCTCACAAGGACACATTCTCTGCTCTAGAGAGCAGGCCCTCAAACAACTCTCTCTGCGGGTCCCCCTATCCCATGGGCCCCAGTTCAACCGCACGCCTGCACTGTCCATATTTACGCCCTTGTCAACCTGGTCTCATTCTCAATCATCAGTCGTTGAAATCCAGTGCTTGGGCAGTGACTTCCAGCGTCAGACACCAAAGAAAAAAGCCATCTTTTTTTCTTTATTTTTTTTGTTGTGACCAAATTTTTATTGTTTTTTTTTTCTTTTTGTTTTCATCATAGAGGAAATACCACAAATGAAAAATACAGTATTGACAATACATGCCATATCTACATCTGTACTTGAAAGTATCCACAAATACATTAAGCATATAGCGTATTTACGTAAATTAGATGAATAGCAATACAAAAATAAATTTGAGCGATACTCAAAATGTTTATATACCTTCACTTATCTTCCTATAATACAAACAATAGCTTAAACCCTACTCTTTACCCCCACCCCACCCCCCGTGGCCTGAGTTATAAATCATTTGAAATCATTTGAAATCACTATCATCACTATCATCATTGAAATCACTAACCCTAACCCTAATCATAACATTAAAAAAAAAACTTTTAAATTAGATCTTATGGCTAAGTTACTAACTATAAACCAAAATTTCATAGAAAGTGATAAAAATCGAGATCATTAGATAAACTAATCAAAACAAAATACAAGAATAAGTATCTACATACACACACACCTATACATGAATCCATATATCTATATATCTACAAATACAGATACATACATGCATGTACACATTCATAATAAATAAAATAAAATAAAGTAAAATGAAGAAAAACTCACCTTTATATTTTACATTGATTTAAATGTGTGTTTTAAAACCAGCCCTCAATGGAATAAAGACTCTGGTCTTAAACTGAGTAACTTGTTCATCAAGATTCAATGTATAATCCAAGTGAGCCAATCTTTTCACATCGGCATTATACGCGGCCAGTCATCGTTACAGTTTATTGGCGGAAGATTATAAAGCCAAACCCTTTTCTTTTTTCCTAAAGCCAACCATGTGCTTTAGTTGTCAAAAAAAGGTCAATTTGCATTGTTGTACTGACGCTGTGCTTTTATTTTGAAAGAGACTGTATGTAAACAGTAAATTTACTGTGAAAACGGAAGTGTATTTTGAAAGAAAACAACGTATGTAACAAGCAGAAGATGACACAGCATCACAGAATGTCAACAACCAACACACCCAGGGTAATTTTCACATTAGCCCCTTTTACATCGCCAGATTTTCGGCGAATGTTGGGCCGTTTTGCCGGCAAGCTGCGAGTGTTTAGACACACAGAGCCAGATTGGCGAGTTGATCCGTGGTGCCCAATTTTCCACCCCGTAGGGTAGACATAGCCTACTGGCGGAACCTTTTTGGTTTAAAAAGAACAAGGCACCCTTCCGCAATGGGAGGGGCTGTTGATGACTTGTGGGAGGAGCTGTTGATGACACCGCATGTCCGAGCCACTGGCGGTGGATAAACAGGAAACAGCTGATAGCAGGAATTAGCAGCTAGTAGCAAGAGGGAAACACAAACCTGACAGACACTCGGGAGACAAAGAATTTTGCGCCCTCCTTGCTCTCACAAACGAAGAGGCCATTAACCATCAAATGACGGGAACGGTGAAGAACGGGCCGACTTACGAGAGAATCGCCGAAGGACTGACCAGCCACGGCTTCGTCACTGTTCATGTCACATGCTGAGCTACACGTTTTGTTACTTGCTCACGCCCCCCATTGCCCCGAAAAAGGCGCATTCTGTATAAACAAAAGTAGGTAGGCGGCATTTTGCTGCACTCCCTGATTTTGTTTTTATACTGCCAATGCTGAAAAAAGACTGATTGGGCTTTCCTGCAAATTTGCACAATTCCTATTTAATTTAATTTAATTTAATTTAATTCGTATTGTAGGTCCATGACCAAAAGTAGATATGTGACGAGGTCGGAGTAGGAATGTGTTGCCTCTGCATTGCACATTTTTTTCATTTGTTTAGTTCTGAAAAATAAAAGACACATTTTTGTTCTCACCCACTGCCCGCCCACGTATAGCTCGTTTTATCCCATGCCCGTACCTGTGAATTTATATATATGTACATATTTTTACCCAATACACAGGTTTTTGCAGGTTACTAGTCAGGTACTCACAGGTAAACCGACGCGGTGCAGGACTCTGTGGTGGTTACTGGTGATAAGAGAGAGTGCAGATAGGTCTGTGAATAGTGAACAGTGAGGCTGATATGAGACACTGGATTAGATGCATAATCCAGGGAGTAAATGGCGATATGGAGAGGTAATTACGGAATCTAAAAACATTGAGTGGCTATTGCCAAAAAAGTAGCAATCATTATGGTATCAAAACCAGGGTTTGATGTCATGGAAAAATTCCCCCTTGTGACTGATTTCTGATTATACATTACATGATTAGATTAATACTGATGAATCAATGTGTAAGCAGCTTTTTACTGTTGTAGGTGGTCGCGGTGGAGCTAGTTTAACTGCTTACTGTTACAGTTTGGTTATTTAATCCAGTCGTACCCACTGTACGATAGGTTTTTTTAAAATAATTTTTTATGACTTTTCTTCCGTCTTTGTTTATTTGTTCAATACTGGACAATTAGACCTCTTCAAGCAGTGAACAATTATCTAAACATTTATCTTTTGTGGAGCTGCGAACAGCTCTGTAAACATGTGACAAACGGCCCTGAGTAGACATGGCATTTTTTTTATAATGGTTTACAAACCACATGAGAGCCGTTGGTGGTGTGGTATATTTTATAAGACTAAAATCTTAATCTGAAAAGTAGTGTCAAATAAATGTGATGTAAAAAGCACAACATTAACCTTCAAAATGTATTGGGGTAGAAGTAGCAAAAAACCTAAGCACCGTATTGGAGTAAATGTACTTGATGTAGAAGCACAACAAGACAGCAAAGTTTTTATTCCTCAGCTTTTAATGTTGCATCACAATAAAGTCAGTTTCGTTGAAAGAAACATTTCATTTTTACGTCACAATATAAAATGGCTGCTGTAGCACTCCTAATTACAGTATGGGAGGAGACAAACATAGATAGTGAATTAAAATGCCACAACAGAACAATACCACAACGCTAACTTACAACACACAGCAACAAGTCAACAAGTCACTCTTTATGTGAGCGGTCTTTTAACAGCAATATCTTACAGGCGTGGTGAAAAGAAATGATGAGAGATTTGCAGCGTAAACAGCATCATACAGAGCCACGTACATTAGAGATGAACGACACACATCACAGATATTAGACTTTTCCCTCCTGCAGATGTCTGAGGCACAAAGGACACATTGGAGAGCATGTTTTCAGAAAGAGGTCGGGGTCCAAGGCAGCTATTTTTTAAGCACGTCATACGTATCCCTGTGACGTGCTTTTAGAGGCTGAGGGAGGAACGGTGGGGTGAGGAAAGAGAAAGGAGAAAGAGAAAAAAGGTCATTTATTGTTTCATCTTTAAATGTGATATTTGAAATGCCGTCACATTTCATCTTACCTGGTAATTATCATCAGTGTGTCTGCTGCTGTTCATTTCATTTGGAAGAAGGTGCTTCTTGTCAGAGCCTGAGGATAAAAACGATGATCATATTAATAGCAAGAAAAAGAGTGAAGTAACAAACAGATTCTAATGTTTTTTATTTCTAATTACTAAGTTCTATTATTGTAGTATTTGCATGTGTGTTATTTAACACTGGAACTGCCATTTTTTGTTTGTTTACCAACTACAAGCAGGAAATATCAGCTATTAATGGATAGACTTATAGATTTTACTTTTCTTTTGAGAGGTGACTGGACCGGTCCGAGCCTGAGACGCAATGAGATAGACGGCAACTCCTATCACAATGGTGGCCACCACGTCTCCCACGACTATTCCCGTTATTGAAGCCTCGTCGAGCTCTACGCAGTTGTCGCAGGCTGGACACACACACACACACGCACACACACACACACACACACACACACACACACACACACACACAAACACAAGACATACTGTACTGTTAATACAGTTTAAACGCAAGTAATGCCAGTACAAAATACAAATACATAAGTGCAAGACACAAGTTTTGCTGCAGAACTTACTCCGGAATTTCACATAGATTTTTGATATTTCAGTCGGGTCAGAGCTGGGGTCAGAAGACACACATTTGTACTCCCCTGTGTTCTCATCCTTGTATTTCAACTCAGTCACTTCAACCTCATTTTCTGATTGTATTTTATAGTTGTCACCACAAGACAGCTTAATCCCATCAGAGAGTTCGCTCACTTTGATCTCAGGGTCTGGGCAGGAGAAAGACAGATTTAAACATAATGTCACACATGTGGTTGGTATAAGCAGCCCAATTTAACTGTTAAAGTTCTTCTTACCGGCACAACTGACAGATGCTGTTGGAGACAGTCGGAAAGAAACATGAAAACATTTATGTTAATGAAACTGGTGAACAACTTGGGACTATTCAAATAATTAAACTGCACTTGTTTTTTTTCTTAAAACCCAACGGATGTTGGAAGGCCTACCTGTCAGTATCCAAAGCAGCAGCAAACCGGCACGGAAAATTAATTGACATTTCATAGTGTATTTACACCTCAGAGTCCTGCCGATGACCAAAGGAGAGATTACTGATTACTGTAAGTAAAAGAAAGCGTGCAACAGAAAACAGGAAGGACGCCATTTTCTGCTCGCTGTCAACCATTTTATTGTAACAAGACAACAAGAGGCATGATGTAGGGTTATTTTCAAGAGAAGATCTAAAGTCTAAAGATCTAAATAGACTTTGGGTTTAGTTCATTTCACCAAAATGAATCATATTCTTGGTCTTTATCAAATTACACACTGTCGCACAACAAAAACTGAAATATACAGCAAATTTGAAACAAAAGTACCGACCTGGAGATAAAGAGCGGCTGCATCTCTGCTGTCACACCATCCAGTCTCTGTCTGTTGAAGTGTTGCGGTCTGTGTGTGTGTATGTGTGTGTGTGAGCGTGTGCATGTTAGAGAAGGAAATGAGTGTGATTGGTTCATTTTGTGTCTCAGCAGGCTTTGTTGATTTCTACATCTGTTGGGCTCTGTGTCTCTGTGACCTCCAGCAACTGACACAGGTGGAATATCCAAGTACATTTACCAAAGTACTTGCACTTACACTTGAGTATTTCCATTTTAGAACACTTAATTCTTCTACTCCACTGGAGTTCAGAGGGACATGCTGTACTCCACTACATATATTTGCTAGCAGTAGTTAAGAGTAACTCAACAGGTTAGGATTTAACATACAAAACATGTGAAGGGGTTTTATTATATGATGCATCGTTGTAAACTGCAAAAACATTAGAGAAGAAGAAGAAGACCACATTTTATTTATAGAGCGCTTTTCATGGTACACAAAGACACTTAACATTAGTTAAAAATGATCATAAAATAGAATACAGCCAAACAATGTTGTGTGTATGTTGACCAACTGCTGACCGACGGCCCAGAGTATCAGGGGCTCATGGGGATTCACTCTGTCTTGGAGCCAGTCTCAAGTGGCCGTTCATGGAACTGCAATTTAGGTCCGAGTGGGGCAGGCAGTCAGGAGGGTTGGTGGATGGCTCCAACAAACACCAATCTTCACCTGAGAGAGCGGTGTAAGAGCCATTTCTGTGCATGTGTTTCATTTTTATTTTTGTTTATTTATTTTTGCTGTGAGCTTCCCACTACTGGGGGCATCCCTGCTGTGAACTGTGAGTGAGGCCCTCAGGTGTGACTGAAGCAAACGGTTTTAGACTGTGGCGTGGCGTGGCATTGAATGGTGTTTGTTTTATTCTAAATTGGTAAATCTGGATCTGCATTGGTAAGCAGCCATTATTGGTAAAAGTGAAAGTTTGGCTCGTATTGGAAACTGCGGACCTGAAGAATGTGAACAATAAACAGCACCATGATCACTGCTGATCAAAGCAGTTGAGTGGACATGTCATTTACACGCGTCGAAACATCCTCACCATCAGCAACCAGGTGCCCTTGATTGACAAGCAAAGGGAGTCATTAAAAGCGGTGTTCATGTCCTGTAAGATTATAAAGCCAATCTCTGATCTTTTTTCCTAAACCCAACCATGTGCGTTAGTTGTTGGAAAAAAAAAACACATCAATTTGTGGTGTTGTACTGACGTAGTGAGTTTATTTTGAAAGAGACTGCATTTAAACGTGAAATTTCCTGTGAAAACAGAAGTGTATTTTGAAAGAACACAATGCATGGAACAGGCAGAACTTGACACGGTGTCCCAGAACGTCAACAACCAACACATCCAGGGTACCTTGCATGTTGTATGCTGACGTGGGAAGTCCATGACCAAACATGTTAACATGTGATGAGGTTGGAGTGAGAATGTGTTGTCCCTGTTGGCTTCATTTTTCATCTTTGGAGGCTATCATTTCATTTTCATGCAACTGCCTTTTTGCATTAATCTAGCATGTAAATGTCTTTTGTTATGTCAAAGTAAAAGTCCTCAGCTACTTTCATGTTTTATTTGGGTCAAACAAATGCACACGCTCTAAATACTGAGGGGGCTGTGTCCTCATTTCTAATAATACTTGGGTAATTGTACTAAGATTGTGCAGGACTTTTACTTGTAATGTCGTATTATTACCGGCTACTTGTATTCAATTAAAGGATCTGAATTCTTCCTCCACTGCTGACGTCAGTGGATTTCAATCATACTCCTGTTATGTAGTAGAGTACATAGTTCATTGTTAATTTGTTCTCTGTTCAACCACTGACTAGAGCCTTATATTACTGGTAGTTATGTTCCGAGGAGTTCAAATGTACCGCAACTGTGTAAATTTGTGAAAAATTCCACAGTCAATTTTAACCATAATGCCATGACTCATTTTTTCAAAGCAGCTGCCACATTTTCCGAAAGACACGAGCAGCAAACTGTAAAGAGAAATCCTCATATTGACTTCAGAAACAAAGTCACTACCAGCCATGTATCAGCCGAAACGACTGATCAGTGTGATCACTCTGGCTGCTGCTTGCTGTTTGGTTGCTTTTGGAGACGCGTGCAGCAGCTCCATCTGGTTAAACAAACGACACAAACACAACCATGTGTGTTCAGATTAATATTTTAATTCCCTGTGTGTCGTCTGTGTTCGTCCCGCTGTGTGTGACAGACTACATTCCCCGCTCGGCGCAGACGAAGCTGCAGAGAAAGAGCAAAGAGATGCTCCCACGACACAACTTCCTGTCTGAAGAAAAGCCACAAAACCTGTGACCTAGAGCTAACACCTGGCACACACACACACACTCTGTGACATGCAGTGTGTCTCTTGCACCTGCTACTGTAATTGTTTTTTTTTGTTATTTACCATCACACGACACACACTCATCACTGTCAAAAACACACCTCACCTCATAACCAACAAAAATCCTCCATGTTTTATAAAGCACCTTACAGCACCCCCTGGTGGGCACCAATAAAACCACAGCAAACCCCATGTTCACCTCATACAACTCCAATATCATCTTTATTAGATGTCCTCTTTTATACACATATACATATGCATACAAATATACATACATGACATGTTACATGTCCATATACAAATATGCACTCCATAATTATGCACCATCTTATTTGGATATTACTGGTCAAAAGGTTAAAATCTCACGTACAGTACGTAATCTTAGACATTCTGGTGTTAGCATAGAACAGTTAATGCATTCCAGTAATGCAACAGGGGTGGAGGACATCATGAGCAAGTGGTTACAGGAGGCTTTCATGTAAAAACACACAGAATATAAGCGTTTATGTTGAGTTTGTATTTTGCATCATTGAGACAACACATCAGGGGTGCATAGACCGGAGCACTTGACTCAGAGAGACAAACATCGACAGTTTTGTGAAGAGAGATTCAAGTTTCTGGAGAAACTTGAGAAACAGTGTTGATATTGTATGCGTCCCAGATAGACACAGGACAGTTACTGGGATCTGGTCATACTGGTCCAGCTTGAAGGTGACTGATGATTGGTTGAATGACTGACTGGCAGTTGCTCTGGGTTTCCTCTTGGACAGCTGCACTGTTGGACGTAGTCATGCATGCATGTACAGTGTGTTTGTGTATAACTTTGAGGTCAGTCAGAGCCAGATCTCCTCGCTGCTTGTGCTGTTCACCTTATAGATGTAGCCGACCATCGGATATCTGGCAAAACCTGGGAAACATCAGAAGGGATTCAGAGGGAACATAAAAAATAAAATAAAAGAACCTCACTGCTGTTCCTCCACGCTGAATCTGAAATATAAATAATGAAAAATCTAACAGGATCAGAGTGTGTTTGCCTGACCTCTGGCGGCGTAGGCTAAAGACAGATCTTCCTCCTCCTCTTCCTCTTTCTTCTTCTCTCCCACACTGTTCTGCTGGGCAGCCTCTCGAGCTACGAGAAGTGATGCAAGAGGGATGGAGGACACAGCAGAATGCAAAAGAGATGTTTGGATAATGTTTTGGGAAATACACGTCACCTCTCCTGCTGCAAGACAGATGATAAGATTTAATTGAAAATTGATAGTTAATTAAACTTAAGTTATTTTACTGTTAATAAACCATGAAATGATACTTAATAGTGTTTACTAATTATTAGTATGGTTTTGATTTGTGTTATTTTAACAGAGGAGATACCCACACACCAATACAACTGGGGTAGAAAGCCACAAAAAAGGTTCACAGGCTGAGATCAGTGCAAAAAAAATATCAATTTAGAGCATCCATGCATAAAGAAGGGAGCTCAAAATGCAAAAAAAAAATAATAAAAAGTTAACTGAAACAGCAGCAAACATTTCAGCCCTTGACTATCATCAGTGCTACTGACATGAGTGCTTCACAGAACAGATAAAGACACAGACAGATTACCACCAGGTGTGATGAATCAGTCAGCTGCTGCCACTAATTAGATGAGATCAACTCTGAGGAGCAACGATCTGACGACCAAACCGCTATCACCTGTTCAGTGAGTATTGGACTAATCACAACATCCTCAAACACCAATGTATGACTGCAGAACATATACAAATGTACAAAAAACACAACTATACACAGAATAATAAAATACATAAATAAATAAATAAATAAATACAAATAAAAATAAAATACAGAATAATAAAAAATATAAATAAATCATATAAAAATAATTAGAAGAAAATAAATAAGTAAAAATAATATAAAATATATATCAATGAATCATAAAAATAATGATAAACTAAATAAATAAAAAATATATAAATACAAATAAAAATAAAATACAAAATAATAAAAAATATAAATAAATTTAAAAAACAAAAAAATAATAATAAAATCATTTTAAAAAGGAGAAGAAATACAAAAGCATATAAAAGAGGGCCATGCTGGTACATGCAGACATCTATAGAAAGCAGGACAAGTTAAGTAAAAGCTGTTCAGCTCTGAGAAGAAAGATCCATCTACTTTCACACTGCAGTTCATTTATTTATTTATTTATTATTCATCTTTTAAATCACTTCTGAAAACCCTCTTGTTTAAACTGCCTTTCTGTGATTTTAACGGCTTTATTATTGTGTTTTTTACTCTGTTATGTGTATTCAGTTTTTATTGCTTTTTTTGCTTTACACAGCTTATTTGCTTTGTCTTTTATTTGGTTTTGTAAAGCACTTTGCAACTGTGTTTTGAAAGGTGCTATATGAATAAAGTTTATTATTACTATTATCATATTTCTACGGTATTCTTCTATACTTCACTATAATGAATAAAAGTTGTGCATTATGACAAGCATAGCTGGAATATCCCTCTAGGAAGGCAGGGGGCAAAAAACATTACCACAAACAACTGAAACACGGTGAATTGTGTCTGAATGGTCATTTATAGCTGCATTCAAGTCTTGTAGGAAACTTGGGGATGAATAATATGCCTGCTTGTCACAAGAACTTGGGCAACAACTGATGGCATTTTACACCAAAATAGAAATGTGTCAGAAACTTTTGTGTTGTCGTTCACTTCAGATTTCAGCATGCAAGACCCTCTATAGTAATAGGTTCAACTTTGCCAACCTTTCAGCACTGAGCATCGATCGTGAAAACAAATTAAATATCTGGTGTTTATTGACTGTTTTAATTGAGCTACAAATCTGGCCATCTTGTCACCCATAAATTTAACTCAGCAAAACATGGTATAACATCTAATGAGTTCACAAGTTCACTAATTGTGTTCACGGGTTGAAAACTCTATTTCTAAATGTCAGTGTCACATACAGTCCATACATATTTATTTTATATACTGCAGACACTAAAATTTTAGTCTAAATGGCACTCAGCCAACGTCTGCCCCTCCTGCACAGCTCCACCCATCTGTGTACAAGATGAGGGTGATTTGTCCTTTTAAACATCTTAAATTCGTACCTTTTCTCAGAGTGTTGAGGTCGTTGAGCTGCATGTTGGAAGGCAGAGACATGTTCTCTCTGGGGATGTACGTCTTATCAGCTTTCTCTATCTTCAGATTGGCTGAGTCGCTGTGCAGGAAATATGGAGGAGAGATATCCAACTTGGATTAGACGCGTTACTGGTCTGCAGGATGGACATCAAATATTCATAAGAGCACAAAAATGCTTTCATTAGTGTTTTGCTTCCAATCCGCTAATGATGCTGAAAGTATAAGATAGGTGTGTGATACAGCGTCAGTGCGGGGTCGGTGAAAGGAAGGTGGTTGTATGGATCATAAAAGGGGACTGTCAGTGTTCATTTGTTAAAAAAGCAAACATTAACACTCAATTAATTATTGTCAACATTAAAGGTCCCATATATTAATGTCTTTTTTTATATATAAAGCAGGTATAGGTGCTATATAAATAATGTATAAAGTATCACAATACTCAATCCACAGAGAAATGCGCACCGTCCATATTTAGGAACTGTGACTTTAAATAAGCCGTCAGGACTTTTATGAAGTTGTGATGTCACAACTATAGTCTATAGACCATTTCAAACTTAAACGTAAACATTTTCAGTGGGTCCCTTTGTATTTCCTGTTCATATGTTTCGTAGTGTATGTAAATGACATCAGCTGACAGGACGCTACAAACGCTGATTAATCGTGTTCCGTGGTGCCCTTTGACATGGTGTGTCTTTGAAGGCCACAATGACATTTACATTTCAAAAAAGGCCCAGATGGAAGTGTTGATAGGAGCACTGTTTTCTGCAGTAAGGAATTTTTGTACCATCTGAGTACTTCAAGCCTGAAATATCACCTCAACACAAAGCATTTAGCAGCTAACCCAGAAGTCTGAGCTAGCACAGCCTCTGCTCTGATGCTAGCGCTAGCAGCCAGCCTCGTCAGCCACACTTGACCAGGCGTTTAGACGCAGACTGAGTAAGTCTACCTGTGACCGACTAACTAACTCCCTTGCAAAATGGACTGCAGACCAGTTTAGGTGGTAGAGGACAGGAGGACAATTGTGTCCAAAATCCAGCAGCTCGGCTACAAACACATCTGTCAAAATTAATTTGAATTATAATTTTTAAAATACTTTCACAGCAAAAGTTGATGTATGTGATTATCTAAAAAAGGTTGGATTTCCACCCCTCTTGTTGGCTTGCTTTACTTGCTTTCCATTTGGATTTATTGAGATGTCCATGATTACTTTATTTACCTTTTCTTGGTCATCAGAATCTCCACTGGCTCATCTGTAACATAACACAAGGAGATGTATTATCCTGCCCAATAAGTATCATTCACTACAATGCACAATGGTACAGTCACAGATTTTCCAGCTGACTTGCTCGCCACAGACACAAACACACTCTTGTCTCACCAAATGACTTGGTCTTGTTTTTTTGCATGAGGCAGAGAACAATCAGACTGAGGATGAGGAGGGCCATAAAGGCCATGGCTCCCCCGGTCACTATTCCCAGCATGGGCACCTCCACGCGGGACTGCAGGAATTCTGGAGAGAGAAGGAGATAAAGAGGGTTAAAGTAATAGTCTGACATTTTGGGAGTTATGCTTATTGGCCCCTGGAGAGTTAGACAAGAAGTGATACCACTCTATGTATCCTCCTGAGACCCGAGCTTTTGTTTGGTATGCATTTTTAATTTCTCTTAGCTATTTTAGGACCTGATAAGTATCCAAAACTAAGCTTTGAACAGTGAGTTGGAAAAAATGTGGTCATGACATGGGGATGGTGGGTTTATTTTTAATAGTCACAAGCGTGTAATAAAATACAAAACAGTTTATTTCAATGCCTGAACATTCCCAGCTGGCTGCCAGCATTATTAAATGTTGATAATTGGTTGAATTTAGGTTGTGACATCAGGTGACCAAAATTCAATGAAAGGACAACCTCTAATTCCAACGCAGTTTGACGTAGAGTACTGATGACAGATGACGTTGTTAATTTGTTGGTTTTAAGTTGCGTTGTGTAGTAACCAAAATCTCAGCATCTTACTAACATCTCATGCCAACAAATTGACGCAGAATAACGACCTTTAGTCCTAAGGTCTACAGAACAAAACCCAACATATGAAAAACGTCATAATGTTGCATCCATTTTCATCCGCTTATCCAGGGCCAGGTCACGGGGGCTGCAGGCCAAGCAAAGCACTCCAGACGTCCCTCTCACCAGCAACGCTTTCCAGCTCCTCCTGGGGGACCCCAAGGCATTCCCAGGCCAGATGAGATATGTAATCCCTCCAGTGTGTTCTACATCTGCCCCGGGGCCTCCTACCAGCGCGACATGCCCATAACACCTCTAAAGGGAGGCGCCCAGGAGGCATCCTGATCAGATGCCCGAACCACCTCAACTGACCCCTTTCGACACGAAGGAGCAGCGGCTCCTCCGAGCTCCCTCTGGATGTCTGAGCTCCTCACCCTATCTCCAAGGCTGAGCCCAGCCACCCCACGGAGGAAACTCATTTCGGCCACTTGTATCTGCAATCTTGTTCTTTCAGTCACTACTCAGAGTTCATGACCATAGGTGAGGGTTGGGATGTAGATGGACCAGTAAATCGAAAGCTTCACCTTCTGGCTCAGCTCCCTCTTCACCATGACGGTCCGGCGCAGCGCTTGCATCGCACCAAACCGCCGATCCATCTTACTCTCCATTCTACCCTCACTCGTGAACAAGACCCTGTGATACTTGAACTCCCTTGATTTTCATTCCAAATAAAATTTAATGTCCGTCCAATGTAAAAGCTCAACTTCTTTCTGACTTCATATTGATGTCCAGTGCCAGCTAGACTGTTATGCAAAAACAAAACTGCAAATAATGCAACATTTGTTCAGTGTTTCGTAATACTAATACCATGGGTTAGACGTCAATGTTCAAGACTTTGGCTGTTCAAAACTGTTCATTTTAATGTCTGAATAACACTGTGCAAAAGCGAAATTGCCAATAATGCAACATATTTAAAAGCCTTGTGTTTTGTTGTTTTGTAAGTCTGTATGAATTTTCCTTGTTGTATTCCTAGCTAGGGATTTCCTTTGTGTCTGTAGGGCTGTCACACCAAATAAGCCTGTGTGAAACACTGTGATAATACAATATCATCCCAATGGCCTCAAATAAGTACTTCCTAATTAACAGTGCCGTAGCTTGTTAGCGTTGCCAAAACTGGTCTAATCTGCATACCATATCAAATTACAAACGTTATAAAATATAAATAAACAACTGTCAAGGAAATAATTTGATCAGGTTTTGGATCTTGCCCACTTTTGTGTCAGGATCGGCTGCAAACTGACTTGGCAGAGATGGCTGCCATCTTGTTTTTACTTGGATGAGTGTATCAGTGCTTTTTCTACCACTAGATGGCACAAAAAAGTGTCCATTAACGAGGACAACAGGTCTCAGTTAAGCAAAATGAAGTATAATGTGTAGCAAACTCAAAATGTCATCCCCTTATATGAGGAAGCAGTGTCGCAGAAGAGTACGGTAAATATGAGGCTAGCTAGGAAACTGTTAGCTTAGCATAAGATAGTCCTTCTTGGTTTCCCTTTGCATTTTACCATCACTGACCTGCCAGCGTGAGGTTGCTCTGCACCGTCCCCACACTGTTGCTGACATTCAGCGAGATATTCCCTGATAGGTTACTGAGCGTGACCTTCAGCGTGTGATTGGTCAGCCAGGGGTAGCTTCGCGAATCCAGGATGAGGAAGTCAGAGGTGTTGGCCACCAGCTGGCCAGACGGGTCCACGAAGGTGATGGTGGCAGGCGGGTTGGAGCGCACCAAGGCGAAGAGGACCAGGGAGAGACCGGGGTCTGAGGTTTCAGTGTATTGTGCGTTCAGCCTGAGGATCTCTGGCTGAACTGGGAGGAGAGGAACAACATTATTCATTGTATCAACAGAAAACAGCTGGGTCCAGTTATAATCCTGAAACATTTCACAAAGACTCACACTGGACATTGAGTGAGACCGTGGCGTTGTAGCTCTCCCCTGTCCTGGGGTTTGACACGACACACACTAGCTCCCTGTCCCACTTCCTGGCCCGCAAAGAGAAGGTGCTGTTGCGATGGGTTCTTGGTCTCATGACCTCAGAATCTTCATGCGACGGCATCACCAGGCGCCCCCGGCTGGGTGGAGGCTCTCTCTGCCGCTCCCCGTTCAGGTACCACGTTAGCAAGGGAGGGGCACGGGGATCCCAGCCGTCTGATTGGCAGTTGAACCAGTGTGTCTTGTTCTCCTGCAGCGTCACAGCCTTCCGGGGCCTTCCATCAATTTTGGGGGCGGGCTCAATTGCACCTGTAAGTACAGGATTAATGTGGATGTGATAGGACTGTGTGAGCAACATGCATTTTTATTTTCCCAAGAGTGTTTCACCTAATCCCACTGTGCTTTGATTGGCTGGTACTTGTAACCATTAAAACAGATGCAGCACAATAACCTTGAGGTAATTTTTGGTTGAATTCCAATGAAGCAAGTGGAGCAGGTCATGTAGGTTACAGTTGCAGTGTGCCTTACCTGACCAGGATAAGGCCAGTGTGTGAAGGAACACGACAGCAGAGCCCGACGCCCACCTTCTCAGACACACACACTTCATACTGGCCCAATGGAGCACCGCACACAAACAACTACCTGCTTGGAAGAAGAAATAATAATGTAGATAATTGCATGTCCATGATGGGTTATGTGGATTAATATGAAGGGAGCCACCAGCAGAAATCTCAGAAATTATTATCTCAAAACATAAAACCAAAACTATCTACATGGCTCAGATCCACTCGGGGTACATGATAGCAGTGGGGGAAAAATCGATACAGCATAGTATCGCGATATTTTGCATGGCGATATTGTATTACATTTTAATACAACTTTTGCTACTGGAATAATAAAGTCAGTTGCTTTTTCAGTCCACTAGATGGTGCTGAGGTCAGCAGAGGTCTCAGTCAGCGGCTTTTGGCAGGAACTTAATCAAAACAAAGATTGAGACACCAGAGAAAGAAATCAGAAATGTGCCGTCGGCGTTTAAATCAAGCGCCTGGACTTATTTTGTATTTTTTGAACACGCAAGGAAAGGAGGACTTGGATATGACACATGCGATTTGCAAACGGTGTCATATGAGAATAAAATGCTCCAGGAAAACCACGAACCTCTCACTCCACCATCCAGACATAGTGTTAGCTGCTAACGGCTAAGCTAATGCTTAATACGCTCTGCCAAAAAAATCAACCAAGACTGGACACACTTAGCTCGACAAAACTATCATCCCACTGTGAGAGAGGTGATAAAATAACACAGTCCATCACTGACTTGATGTGCAAAGATCTGGGCCCATAGATACAGTCGGCAATGACGGGAACGCCCACAAACGTCACATCCGGTTAGAGCCAAGGGGGCAAACAAACCGGTCTCTGCCATTAGCCACAATGCCGAAGAGTTGCTGTGTGCCTTTTTGCAACACAAATAAACAAAAAAAATCACCAATTAAAGTTTTACATTTTACCAAATAATAAAACGGAACCACAAAGGAGGACAAAATGGCTTCAAGCTATCAGAAGAGAGGACAAGTTTGGCAGATTATGGGACCCAACAACAAAACGTGTATGTCTGCAGTCAGCACTTCATTTCAGGTAAGTTTGATGTAATGTTAACCATTTCCAAACAATCGTAGACTATGTCAGGGGTATCAGAAATATTAGATTAATTGTTTAAACGCTAGTGAACTTTGTACTACATTTGTAATTTGTGTAGATTTCCTCACAACACGTAAAAAAGTACACATTCAGTAACGTTACCTAAGTAGAAGTACAGATACTTGTGTACAAAAGTCTGGTAAAAGTAGAAGTACTGATAAAAGTTCTTTACTGAGTACAGTATATGTAAAAAAAAAAAAAAAAAAAAAGTGCTGGCTCTGAAATGTACTCCAAGCATAAAATAAAATATAGCCCTCTGAAGGACATTTCTATTGCCTGTTTCTGTGCAAAGCTAAAAGCTCTCTTCTGATAGCTTGAAGCCATTTTGTCCTCCTTTGTGGTTCCGTTTTATTATTTGGTAAAATGTAAAACTTTAATTGGTGATTTTTTTGTTTATTTGCGGTGCAAAAGGGCACACAGCAACTCTTCGGCATTGTGGCTAATGGCAGAGACCGGTTTGTTTTCCCCCTCGGCTCTAACCGGATGTGACGTTTGTGGGCGTTCCCGTCATTGCCGACTGTATCTATACAGTGCTGTTGAAACGAAGGCTTTGTTACATGCTAAAAACACTCCGTCAGCATGCGACTCCACCGGCACAGCCGCACCCAAGCTCTACAAAGAAGTGGGCATAAAGTTGAGGAATCTTTGAGTACAGCAGGAAGGGTGGTGTTAACCTGTGACGCCTTGACTTCAAGGTCAGTGGATTCATATGTGACTATATTGGCACATTATCTGACAGAGGACTGGAGACTGCTGTCTCACGTTCTCCAAACTAGAGCAGTGCACAAAAGTCGCACCGGAGCAAACACTGCAGACGTCCTACAAAATGCAGCACAAGAATGTAACAGACAACACTTCTAACCATTCAGTTAGCAGGATACCTGCATGTGAGGTGTTTGACTCACGTGTTTAATCTGCCCACAGTTCAGTTTGTCATGTGTATGCAGCATTTCTGACAGGTTTTATGACGGTGTTGGTCAGTCTGTCTGCTTTGCATCACATTTTGCCGCAATAAAAATGATTGAAGTCGGAAGAACAGACTGAAAACTTTATCTTCTGAGGTAAAACTGATGTTTGCAAAGTTTTCCTTTGGGGAAATAATCAGCAGTTGGGAAAAAAGGTAATAAATCGCAATGTATTGTATCGAAATACTCAGCATATCGCAGTAATATCATATCGTGAGTCCTCTGGTGATTCCCATCCCTAGAACATGAGGATTAAGGTTTTGGTTTCTAGTGAATTCATCCTTTAAAGACACATAGATTCTTGCAAGGTGCAGACGTAAAGAAGCACACAGAGCCACTGGAATGAAGCTTTCAATGCAATGACGACAAACAACAGCACACAGGACATGTCACAAACAAACAATAATAATCCCTGCTGGTCCAGCTTTGATTTGCAGACCTACCCCATCACAACAAAACATTCACAGGCCTGCTTGGATCGATGGTGATTGTGCACACGGACACTGTACGGTGAGTGCAGGGAATGAGTAATGTCTGGTGCTTGCTTGCAATCTGGGTCACATGATATGTGTGAGCACCTCGGACGAAAGCAGGAACTGAGCCATCAAGGAAACACTCATAATCCCACACATATGGAGACGACCAAGAACATTCCTGCGCACATGACAGAAGGTGTTACAGCTCTTCGCCTTCGGGTCGAGGATGCTGGGATTGCACTGACAATAAGAGCAAGGGGCTATACATTACACTGAAGGTCTACTCCACACACACTGCACTTTCTGAGGCTGCATGCAGGCATTTCAATGCAGATGCATGCAGTTAAATACACAAAATAATGAGCTTTACAACACTCACACACACACACACACACACACACACACACACACACACACACACAGTATTACCTCAGCCCTTTCTGCAGACGCTGTTGTGATTCAGCCTGCTGGAGCTCCATGGCAGCGGAGGAGGAGAGGAGGGAGAGTGAAGGATGGTGATAACAAGTGGAGAGATGAGAGGCAGCCCTCCCTGACTCAGTTGCTTTCCCATCTGCGTACACTCATACACTTACACACACATACACGTACACACACACACGGCTCTCTGCAGGGTACAGCAGCTCCAGTAGCAGCGTTCACTAGCTGGCAGGGGCTGGCAGGGCTGGCTGACGCAGGCAGTTATGCTGCCGCCACTCTGAGAAGGAGAGAGTGGGAAGGGAGGAGGGGATGAGGGAGAGAAAGGAAGGGAGCAGGCAGCTGAGGAGATGGAGAGAAACACAGAGAGAGGAGAGAGTGAAGGCAGGGAGAAAGGGAAAGTAGCAGAGGATGCAGAGAGATAGAGAGAAGGGAGAGTGGGCACAGAGTCGTGAGGGAAGAAAAAAGAGCCAATGTGGGAGAGGACAGGAGAGAAGAGGAGAGGAGAGGAGGATATAAAGGCTACAAGACAAGAGACAGAGCTCTGTCCAAAACATCAATCTTTAACGATCCATGACATGGACCTGTGGTGGATGGAGGAGCGCAAACTGTCAGTTCAGAGGGATCAACACCTCTCTGTCTGTCATCCATCCATCCTGCCTGTCACCAGGCATGTTAAAGTAAACCCTGATACACAGACACAGACACTCTACATGGCTCGCTGTGCCTGAGCTCCATTACTTCAGACTGAAAAGCCTCTGCAGTGCAGCTGTACAGACCTGAGCAGCAGCATGCAGAGCACTGCAGCCAAAAGAAACAGGCTCATAGAAGAGGTATATGTCCTTTGCTAATGCCAAACTCCTTGTCTTGATAGGCCTCTACCTTTGAATAGTTGTTGTTTTATTGTTGGTTTTAGTATGATATATGTTGTATTTGTTGCATTTTAATGTGTTCTGATTGGCTGCTACCTCGGCCAGGTCTCTCTTGGAAAAGAGATTTTCAGTCTCAATGGGACTTTAATAGAATAAATAAGGAAATAGTGTCATTTTTTTCTCCCCTTCCCTCGTAAAAAAAAAAAAAGTGATTGTTTTTGTTTGGGGTCTGCTGTTCCCCCCGAGGAAACTCCCGTCCTAAAGTTCCTCTCTGCTTGGAAAACAGATTTTGATGAGAAGGCCAAAAGACAATGCATCGAGCAAAGAGTGGATATCCTTTTTCCTGTGACTTCAATCATTTGTGCAGCAAGGTCAACAGAAGGTTGGGGAATATCTAGGCTTCCTGACTGATGAAACGAGCTACATATTCAAGACATATTGCATCACTGGATGGAAACAGAGAAGGTAACATTCCCCTGACGGGACTGGTTGGTGCGAGACACAAACAGGTGACTCCTGCTGCATATAGCAAAGGAAACTCACTCACCTTACACAATGATTCAATGGATGACAGTCTAAGTAGTTACTTAAATAATGCACACACTGAGGAGCAAAGAGTCCCGCAAACATATAACACACACATTTAACAAATTTGATGTCCTCGTGAGACCCTCCTCATATGAGGACATTCTGTGTAACTTAGACCTGTCGTCCTCGTTCATGGACACTTCTTTGTGCCATCTAGTGGTAGTAAGAGCACAAGACACTAATCCATGTGAAAACAAGATGGCAACCATCTCTGCCAAGTCAATCTGCAGCTGATCGTGACACAAAAGTGGACAAGGTCCAAAACCTGATCAGATTTTATGGTTGAAACTTGTTTATTTATGATTAGTTATACTTGTAGTTTGATATGGTGTAAAAATCTGACTAATTCTAGCAACAGTAGCAAGCTAAGACCTGTTAATTAGGAAGTAGGCTACTTGACTGAGGACATTGGACTTTGTAATAATCTTGTTTGAGGACATTGGGATTTAGGGGTCTCAGGAGGATACATATCTATGTGTAAAGGACAATTTCAATTTTTTAGCCACTGGTTTTCATTTATTTTTGTACACTATTAAAAAAACTGCGGTGAGAGGAAAAGTGAAAATCATTTGTGTCTCCAAAAGATTTAGAAGTCCTTTCCATCAGTTCTCCATCAGACATGAGGGGAACTGAGCTGTGAAATAAAGAGCGTCACATTGTGACAGAACGAGATGACAAATCGACTATGAGATATCAGCCGATATTAGCTTATTGCAAATATATTGATATTAGCGTATATGTCAGTCAATAAGTGACAAGATATTGCTGTACAGAAATGCTTGAGTAGGTTTGCGTAATTCAGAATATCCCCCCATCATATAGTTTGTCCACTAGAGGGCACTGACAAGTTGATTTTTTTTAACTGTAAAATGTTCCAGTCAGTATCTTTGTCACAAATCTCAGGGATCCCAGCCAACAATGTTTAAATTATGTTAGAATTTTATTTAATTCTTCTCAGTCTCGCCAGCACAGTGTATGTATACATGTATACATGTAATGTATACATACATATATACAGTACAGGCCAAAAGTTTGGACACACCTTCTCATTCAATGCGTTTTCTTTATTTTCATGACTATTTACATTGTAGATTCTCACTGAAGGCATCAAAACTATGAATGAACACATGTGTTGTTATGTACTTAACAAAAAAAGGTGAAATAACTGAAAACATGTTTTATATTCTAGTTTCTTCAAAATAGCCACCCTTTGCTCTGATTACTGCTTTGCACACTCTTGGCATTCTCTCCATGAGCTTCAAGAGGTAGTCACCTGAAATGGTTTCCACTTCACAGGTGTGCCTTATCAGGGTTAATTAGTGGAATTTCTTGCTTTATCAATGGGGTTGGGACCATCAGTTGTGTTGTGCAGAAGTCAGGTTAATACACAGCCGACAGCCCTATTGGACAACTGTTAAAATTCATATTATGGCAAGAACCAATCAGCTAACTAAAGAAAACGAGTGGCCATCATTACTTTAAGAAATGAAGGTCAGTCAGTCCGGAAAATTGCAAAAACTTTAAATGTGTCCCCAAGTGGAGTCGCAAAAACCATCAAGCGCTACAATGAAACTGGCACACATGAGGACCGACCCAGGAAAGGAAGACCAAGAGTCACCTCTGCTTCTGAGGATAAGTTCATCCGAGTCACCAGCCTCAGAAATCGCAAGTTAACAGCAGCTCAGATCAGAGACCAGATGAATGCCACACAGAGTTCTAGCAGCAGACCCATCTCTAGAACAACTGTTAAGAGGAGACTGCGCGAATCAGGCCTTCATGGTCAAATAGCTGCTAGGAAACCACTGCTAAGGAGAGGCAACAAGCAGAAGAGATTTGTTTGGGCCAAGAAACACAAGGAATGGACATTAGACCAGTGGAAATCTGTGCTTTGGTCTGATGAGTCCAAATTTGAGATCTTTGGTTCCAACCGCCGTGTCTTTGTGAGACACAGAAAAGGTGAACGGATGGATTCCACATGCCTGGTTCCCACTGTGAAGCATGGAGGAGGAGGTGTGATGGTGTGGGGGTGTTTTGCTGGTGACACTGTTAGGGATTTATTCAAAATTGAAGGCACACTGAACCAGCATGGCTACCACAGCATCCTGCAGCGACATGCCATCCCATCCGGTTTGCGTTTAGTTGGACGATCATTTATTTTTCAACAGGACAATGACCCCAAACACACCTCCAGGCTGTGTAAGGGCTATTTGACCAAGAAGGAGAGTGATGGAGTGCTGCGGCAGATGACCTGGCCTCCACAGTCACCGGACCTGAACCCAATCAAGATGGTTTGGGGTGAGCTGGACCGCAGAGTGAAGGCAAAGGGGCCAACAAGTGCTAAACACCTCTGGGAACTCCTTCAAGACTGTTGGAAAACCATTTCAGGTGACTACCTCTTGAAGCTCATGGAGAGAATGCCAAGAGTGTGCAAAGCAGTAATCAGAGCAAAGGGTGGCTATTTTGAAGAAACTAGAATATAAAACATGTTTTCAGTTATTTCACCTTTTTTTGTTAAGTACATAACTCCACATGTGTTCATTCATAGTTTTGATGCCTTCAGTGAGAATCTACCATGTAAATAGTCATGAAAATAAAGAAAACGCATTGAATGAGAAGGTGTGTCCAAACTTTTGGCCTGTACTGTATATATATATTCTCCTGAGACCCCAAAGTCCCAATGTCCTCAAACGAGACAGTTCTAAAGTCACAATGTCCTCAAACAAGTACCTCCTAATTAACAGGTCCTAGCTTGTTAGTGTTATTTAAATTGGTTTAATCTGCACACCATATCAAACTACAGATGTCATTAATCAAAAATCAAAAAGTTTAAACCATCAAATTTGATCAGGTTTTGTATCGTGTCCACTTTTGTGTCGGGATCGGCTGTAGACTTGGCAGAGATGGCTGCCATCTTGTTTTTACATGAACCATTGTATTTTGCTCTTACTACCACTAGATGGCACAGAGAAGTGTCCATGAATGAGGACAACAGGTCTCAGTGAAGCAGAATGTCCTCCTATGAGGACGCTGGGTCCCAGGAGGACATATCGATATGTAATTTTTTTTTCTTTGCTATGCTGTGACAGCCAGCCATGCACCCCTGTTGGTAATAATCAGTAGCAAATTTAAGTATAGTCATAAATAAACTTAACAAATTGCCTTTATTGGCACTGCTGGTTCTTGTAGGCCTATTATGATGTACTTCAGTTCTGCGTGTAGTTTGTCCAAGTGGTGTTGCCGTACCTCAGCAGAAGCCCTTGCTAGACTCCTGTGGGTAGATTCAATGTCAAACACTGCACTACTTCATCACTTTCACTTTTTAGAATTTAAATATGAGTGATTTAGTGCCAGTCATTTCTGTAGACAGTTGTAGTTTTCATTTATTGTATACTGTATAGCTGTAATTGCCTATGATAAATAATATAATGGGAATTGAGTTTTCACATATTAATTTCTTTTTAGGGACCCCCACAAAGAGGTTGACTCAGGCTACAATGACAGAAGTCCTACTCTGTTCAGTGGTCATTTTGCAAATCATGTACACTTAAAACGGCATCATCATTAGAGATGGAGCGATAAGTCGATTAATCAATTGGTCAAATGACAGGAAGTGAACGGGGAACCATTTCGTTTACATGTCTTCGTTCCAGCTTCTCAACTGTGAGAATGTGTTGCAATTCTTTGTCTCATGTGACAGTAAACGGAGGATGTTCGGGTGTTTGACTGTTGGACAAAAGAAGGTTTTTGAAGATGTCTGATTGGGCTTTGAGAAATTGTGAGAATTTTCCAACATTTTATAGAGCAAAACAAATAAATAAATAAAAAAACAACAGGCAGGTTAATCAGTAACGAAAATAGCTGTGAAATGAGACCTTATGTAAACTGTGATAGATTTCAGCCTGACATGAGTTAAATCAATTGCCGCCTGGAAGGTGGAAAAACAGGTGTAAAATGTTAAATCTGAAAATGATTAGGAAAAAAGACATGTAAAATAAAACATGCAAGAACACTGTCATTGTCCTTTATGGTCTGTTAGGTGATATTGTGAGACTATAACCTTTACAAAAACACTATAAGCAATGCTTTATGATGAACCAGGCCTGCAGCAAGTAACACAAACACACACGCCATGACCTTTTTAAATTATTTCTTTATTTATATATATTTATTTATTCATCTCAGTTTGGTTGATATTCTTTTTAATCATTGTTGTTGCACTTTAGTATTTTTGTACTCAACAGAAATGAACATTAAAAACAAAAATAAAGGACAAAATGAACCAATAAAAAACAAAATGAACCTAAGAAACATGAGTAGAGCAGAGCTGGCTTGCTGAGCAAGGAGGCTGGGGTGGAGAGAAAAGAGGAGAAGATGGAAGAGTTAAGACCGAAAAAAAAAAAAAAGGTGGGGGAGAAGGGTCAGTCTGATCAGGCAGAAGATGTGTGTGAAGCAGCTCTCTCTACTCCCCATTAACCTCTCAGTCATCTGCAGTGCTTTCCATTCACACGGGCCATCCCTTCCTGTGTGCCTCTGCTCTTTCCCTCCCCAGCACAGATCTGAAACAACAGCTCTGGCCGCGCTATGAGACAAGGTGGAGCCTCTGGTCTTAATTTTAGAGTTCCCATCCTGCTGTGGGACAAGAAACATGCAATGTCTTCCATTCCAGAGGTTTCCTCTTTAATACCTTCCAAGTATTCCGCTCTCTCTCTTCCAGATCTCACTCTTGGCTCGATGTGAACAACGAAACAGGAGGGCAGATCTGAAAGAGGAGAGAGCTGGAGGGGAAACCAAGATGGCAACGAGCTTCTTCTGCCTAATGAGACTCAGTTTGGGAAGAGACAAAGTTAATTTCATGAATCCGTCCTGCTTCACTGGTAACATTTGTACGCACTCTCACTTGAGACATTTGATTTAACCTCTATCCCATCTGCCCTGAAGGGGAGCGAAGGTTGGTAAACAGGAAGTGACACGGTGCAAATGGAAAGCACAGGCGCTGCATGACACCATCTGCAGCTCTCCGATGTTCTGTATATAGCGTACGAAAAGTCAACCGTGTAGCCAGGTTATTGTGAAATCTGGCCAGTATGAATACATACAAGTGGAGCTTTATTCTTTGTGCCACAGTCTTTTGCTGGCCCAATATAGACTCAGGGGTATTGTATATGGGAGGATAAATAGAGGTCAAACAATAAAATTAAATTGAAAAGAAAAGGGAGGTTCAATCTTCTGCTGTGGTCCCCAGTGTGCTGTAGCCTCCATCTGGCTGTGCTTGAGCTCCACTCAGCTCGGAGCACAGGCCGTGGTAGATATGTTTAAGGTGGGCACGCCATGCCCCGCTCTGGCCACAACTTTGTATTCCTCTGCTGTGAAAGTCCAACTCAAGCTATTCCTTCCCTTCCTATGGTCACCTCCTGAAATGTTTCCCTTTTATGGTTTCCTTGTATGGTGCGTCCAGGTGTGTCGAACTACAACGACATCCACTGACTGTTCATGAAACGCAGCCGTCACCTCCTCCGATCTCTTGGGCAAAGCAAGGCCTAAACAAGATTGGTTGAAGATAACAAAAAGAGTGGGGAGAAAGGGGGGGGAGGTCGGGTTATAGTAGTTGTAGTTTCCTCCTTGGTCGCCATAGTAACAAGGTTAGCCCGGGAGGAGGGGCCGTGTCCCTAAGGCGTCGTCCGATCAGAAGCCAATGCAGTAAAAGATGTTGGGAGGATCACAGCAGATAGGTAGGGCAGCGAGAAAGAAGTGGGTTTGTCCGTCTCCACACTTGTGATGTTCAGGATGATATGTCAGCTATATTACAAGTTATTCCCTCGTTTTCTGTCTCTGTCTTTATTTTGTTTTGTTTTTAATAGAGTGTCAAGTCTCTGTAGCACCCGAACCGACCCCAGACAAAGCCCAAAGCCTGACCCTGTATAGCCTGCCACAACTACCCCGTCAACAGAAAACAGGCCCAACATCAACAAGAATGACAGTCACAACATCGATTGAAATGATACTTTAAAAAGCAACACAAAATAATTACTCTCCTCTTATTCAAGTGTCATGATATAATAATATTAAAACACATAAGAACAATCTTTTTTAACGACACAGAGAGAGCACTGTCTCTCTTCTCTCTGTCCTCTTTTGGCTAGAAATCTCAAGATTCATAAAACAAAAAAAGAAAAAAAAAGAAAAAAAAGAAAAAACATTTTGAAGACATCCAAAAAATACAAATGAGAAACAATACCAATATAAAAAAAGCCTCCCCGATAACATCTAAAAACAAAAAAAGGTAACAAAAAAGAAAAAGGACTTGATACAGAAATTGCAATAGCGTTCTATACATGGCATCACTGTACAAGGAAAGGAGCAAATGTCTGGTAAAACTACCCACAATGCAATACACTGTCACTGACAGGGGAAAGGAGGAAGGAGGGTGGAGAGAAGGGGGAACCCAAGGTGGGGAAAGTGAGGACTGGAGGAGGAAGAAGAGGCGGAGGGTGTTGAAGAGCAGAAAAACAGCATGACAGAGAGCGGGGAGCAGCGAGGAGGGGTGGAAACAGAGAAAGAGGAGAGGATAGCTTGAACCGAAAGTGCAGAATTACTTAAGTAATCAAAGAACAATGTTGTCTTCCTTGCAACACAGAACTGTTTTTCATTTAATAATAATAATAATATTCATTATAATAAAACCTCTTTTACAGAAAACAGTAATAACAATAAGAGTAACAATAATGACCGTAATGCCTACATGGACATTAGCTGTAAAAATGAATTTTAAAAGAAAATAAAAAAAAGAAATGAATGCCAGAACAAGAAAAAAAACACAACAACACACACACACACACACACACACACACACACACACACACAATGAGAGAGCTGGTTTGTCCTGTGCGATGTCACTGAGCTCCATCTTTGGAGAGAACGCTTTTGTTGCCCAGTCGGAGCCTGACCTGAAACACCCGCCGCCCGGATGAAAAGGGGCTGCGGCTGCCGAGACTTCAGCCCGCTCCGGAATGATCTGCTGCGTGACAGCGAGAGCAGACTGAACCTCACAGACACCTTTCCCCCTCTGCTCACCTCTTCTTCTCAGTCATGCACACACATACACACTCACACCTAATGTGAATACTTTGGGTTTGTGGCAGCAGTGTGTATGATGCATCTTTGTGTTATTGGACTCTATGTTCTTGAAACTATGACTGTATCAATGCGCTGGCCGACGAGGCACGTATGAAGTATGCCAACAGTTAATAGAAGACGAGGGGTGATAGGGGAGGATTGGGTCAGGGCGGGTTAGGAGGGCGGGTTAGGTGGGCGTGAGGGGGGGGGCAGGAGGTGAGGGGGGTGGAGTCGAAAGAGGGAGGAGTTGAACCCACGATGGGAGGTGAAAAGAGGAGACAACCTGTGGCGATGATTGCTGGATGTCTGTGCAGAAAATGCTGGCACTTTGACCCTTGAATCAAGAGGCCCCACCTGTGAGCCCTCTCCCCCCCACCCAACCCCTCTAATATCTACACCCACACTCCCCCTCTCTTGCGCAGACTGCCCTCCCAAGGACAGATGGAGACAGACAGATGGACGTAGAGCGCCCCCATTTGGGCAGAGAACGGTGGTTTGGCGTGATGCTGCTCAACTCAAGTCAACACAACTCAGGATGGCTGATATGGACCGCTGTACACAGGATACACCCCTTCCTAGAAGAGGACAGAGGAGAAGAAAAAAAAAATCATATTGGGACTACTCTTACCTGTTCTCCTTTTTAAACACAAGATTTTTGATAAATTGTTCTACGTTAAAGACTAAGTAAAAAAATATCTTTTTAATTTGTGTTTCAAAAATGACAAAAATGAAAGAAAAGTTCACTGCAGGGTGTCTTTAAATTGAACAGTTGAACTGGACTGGACAGTTGACCTTTAAAAGGACACTACCTGTTTGTACATCTAAATATCAGTTTACTACTTGGCTTTTGAAATCAGCTTTTCAAAGCTGGATAATTCAGTGTGTCATATTTATACATAAATTCACACATGCACTGCAATCCTGAATTTATCTAACTTTACCCAAAGGAGTTGTACGTGAGAATGCAAATGTCCGAAATGGCTAGATCTGACATTAAACATTAAACTGTCAGACCAAATTATAAACCTGCTACGTGACTGGAGTATAATCCACGCCACGTCCTGCCCTCTGCACGCTCTTACCCAGGCACCACCTTTCACCTGAACTCAACAGAGAACTTCCAGTAGGTGAGAATGCTTCTGACAAAAACCACCTCCTGTAGTCTGCTTCATATGTGAAAGAGAAACTGACAATGTCTGCACCTGATTCTTTTCACTGTCCGAAGCTCATATAAAAAAGATTTGTTGACAAATTTGTTTTCATTTTGACATTTCAGATTTTTTTTTTTTTCCATGTATGTCGATGCCGAATGGTCTCGACTGGGATTCAGTGTTGTAAAACAAAACACAAATAAGTCAAAAGGAGGGAATAGTTTTCATAGACACTGTCACTGGTCAGATAGGAGTGAACATCAACACTATCTCCTCCATTACTGAGATTTTACGGCACTTATGACACAACGCTTTCCTGCTATTGACGAGATATTCCATGTTTTTACTGTTATAAGATAGGGGGCGCTGTTACACATCTTGTGAAACAGAACAGTATTGTTGTTTCCAAAAACAAATGAAGAGAAAGATCTGCTGGAAACCGCAAGATGTTGTTTGCAAAGGAGATGCAGAGGCTTGTAAACTGCACGAAAACGCCAGCGCCGACAAAAACGTATACTGGTGCGTAAGCCGTGGAGATGTTGATGGGACTCAGACTCCGACAATTCCTGTTTTGATCAACATTCTGAATCCAATTTGGACGAAGAAGCAAACGATTTTGGTGGGATGGAACAGGATCTCCGTGACTGACAGTGACACACCCACAAGACGACCATGTAAGAAGCCAAGTAATAAATGTTAAGTAAAACATAAAGGCAAGGTGAAAGAACTTACTATGCGATTATTATATAAACTCCATAAAAATGAGTTACACAAAGAAATTGAAAGGGTGATGAGGAACCTGGTGGACAAACTCTGGCTGTTATCTCGCTCATTTAAAGAGGTGATACAGCTTAAGGCCACGCTGGACTAATAGATATGGAAAAATCTTGAATTTCTAATTATGTATTTGGCAGTTAAATGTGATAAAAGATAACCAAGCCTTTACTCTGTGTGTGTGTTTGTACCTGTGCTAGACCCCAGCCTGCTCCATGCTGTACTGCAGGTCAGGGGGCTTGTAGCTGAGAAGCATGTCACTGGTGCAGGAGGAGGGGTAGCAGGCTGCCGCATGGAGTTCCCCTTCGACATCACACACTGCATAAGGAAAAAAACATCTTTACTGACATGGACAAACATGTATAAAGGTGACTTTTCAGGTAGATGAATGCCACGCTTCCTACTGACCTGACTCTTCCCGCTGGTGCAGCTGCTGGCTTCCTGTCAGTGACGTCTGGCTGAGGATGTCCGACATGCGAGCGGAGCTTAGTGCCTTCCCGGCCAACAGGCTCATCCCCGACATGGGCTCTGCCTGGTCCTGGACACAAAGAGGAAAACGGTGTCAGGCTCAGAAAAAAAGGATGCAGCATGATTAGCAGCTGTGATGAGTCAGAACTTTGCTTGGATGATCAGGTGTCAATACCCCCTCAAAAAACATCTAAATGAATATGACTTCTGGTGTCACTCAGTCATGCAAACGTTTGCTTCCTGCCTTCAGCTGTTATCCTTCTAAACGGGCTCTCTCCAACACTGCACTGGCAAGCAAGATGAGCTGATACATCCTGGTCTCCAAAATACACCCAGCCAATATTAACATGCTCACAAATGTTTGATTATTCATCCTTCTTGCCTGGTACCTCCTTATAGTTTACTGAAAAGCCCAGTTTAATTCATTTATTATAATGCTGCAGGCGTAACTATAGTTTAGTGAGTTCAGAAGAAACTAGTAGCAAAGATTCGCTCACATAGGCATCGTCACAGGTCTGGATGGTGTGGTGGCGCTGTAGCTGTCCACGGGACCTATAGGCGTCACCCTGGGAACCTCGCGAATAGCCCACACCATTATGATCAGGCACCTCCATGGCCTGCCCTTGGGGCCTGCACTCCACATGCTCAGATTCTGACAGAAGAGATCAGGTCAGTACGGACACTTGTATACTGTGGAACGTTTTAGATGAACTGCTCCGAGAGATGAAGGTAAACACGACAGACACTGGAATATAAATTCTGATAGGCAGTTTTATAACAGCTGCGAAAACAAGTCTTACCTCTAGTTGCTGTAGCGCTCCTTATATAGCCAGCATGCCTGTGTGTAGGGGAGTTGTAGGGCGGGGTGCCTCCTCGGGGTGGCCCCAGAAGCTCATGACCTTCTCCTGCCTTGGCTAGCAGGCCCTCGTGTGGGTGGTGGTAGCCAGCCGGCACCTCATCCTCCTCCATGCTCTCCGAGTGAGGCAAGCTGGGACAAGGCGCCTGGGCCGGGAGCTGCTGTGGCGGGACATCTGGGGGTCGAATCTGAAGGAGGTGGTGGTAGTGTTGGCCTCCGGAGGCACCCTGTGGTGCCTGTGGCTCCAAGCTCTCACCCTGGCTCAGCTGGCGGAGAAGCAGCATCTCTCCGTACTCTTGGGGTGCACCGCTGGGTGGTGTGGGAGTCGCCGAGCATGGCCGGGGACTCTGCCTCTTCAGCAGGGCAGCCAGGTCTTGGGGGGGCAGCCTGGGGTCGGCGTGGCCTGTTAAAGAGTGGCGGGGGGACAGGAGGCCCTGCAGGGTGGGAGTGACGTGATGTTGTGGGGGGCGGTAGTCCAAAGGAGTCGGGGAGAGCAGGGCCTGCTGTAGTGTAGAGGGGGTGCCATAGTTGCTGGTCCCAACTGCCCCGCTCTGGTAATCCTCCAGACCAGGGACTTTGAGGGAGGCGCCCTGTAGGTAGGGGCTGTAGGAGCCGACCACTCCGGAGGTGCCACGGGAGGCAGCAGCGGCATCGCCAGAGAAGAGATGGGGATTGAACTGAGCCTGGTCATAGCCCGATGTGAAGCGGCCGAGGCTGCGACTGGATACAAGGAGGACATGCAAATGGTCATTAGCTTTTAGCTGTTGTCTGACATCAATGTGCACCCAATGCCCTTACACAGTGCAAACAGTGATGTGTTTGCTTTTAGCTTTCAACAATCTACAGAAGGCCTTTATTAAATCACCGCACACAGACAGCCTAGCAAACACATCAGCTCAAGTCCAGGTTGAAGTATTCACTGAGAGGTGTGAAGACATTTCCAAAGGACAGAATTTGGAACAGTGTGTATTTAAAGATTGTTACACATTCTCTCAGTGAAGGCAGTCCTGGTTAAAGGGGACCGTTCAGGGGGTCACAGGATGACTGATGTCCTATTTAAACTGACCTCTATATATACTTACAAAACACTTAAATCCAATCACTCACCCAGCTAAAGTGAGGTGGAGGATTTGTTGAGGATGTCATCTCAGCAAAGTCCATGAGGGATTTACATTAATTTTCATTACAAGTAACACATAAAGTCCTCAAACTCTGTCATCTCACACATAAAATCTGGCCTGAGCCACAGTGCTACTGTTTGACGTTTCAAAATACATGGCAGAAATGTAAAACACAAACAAAACAGTGAGAAACACACAATGATAAAACATAAAAATACAACAAATAGCATGAGGGCGTCTGTTCAGGCTAGCGAGGTCATGAGTGCAATAAAACTAAAATAAAATGGAAACAAATGGAAAAAGACACAGAAAGAGTCCGTTGGTATTGTTGGGAGGGTTTGGCTGCCGTCAGGGGACGTGGTGACAGGATGGGTGGGGTCACCTGTGCGTCTCAGCGTTGTCTGCACTCAGCTGCTTCCCGAGGACTCTGTGCCCAGGCGTGGACAAAAAGGCTGCCTGTCTCTGTGCTACGCCTCCCAGCTCCACTTCCTGAACCTGAATGGTCACCTGTATAGACAGTCAAGGTCAATATTCATTACTGATCACAGTATCACCTTCAAAGAGAATTTAATTTTAACAAAAGCACCAGAGAGAGCATTTGATTGGCTCTTTGCAGTCACCTGCTGTTGCTGAGGTACACCCTGTGCCAACGGGACGGTGGGGCGAGCAGATGCTGCTTGTTGATTGGTTGGTATAGAGACTCGAGGCATGCTTGTGGGAGGCGGGCTGCCACTCTGGCCTTGATACAGCGCAGGAGTACCGTGCTGGTACTGTACTGGTGACGGACCTCCTAGGGAGCGGAGAGGAGTCATGAGAGCAAACACCATGGCCAAAGTTTTACTGAGAGCAGACATCATCATACAGCGTATCTACAGGTATCAGACACTTAAATGTAATATTTTGAAAGGCCTTTTTAAGATCATTGTTAAAAAATAAATTAAGACTTTTGGACAAATCATTCTTTTCATATTCAAGCAACGCAGGTAAGTATAAAAGTAAAAAGTATATATGGTCCCATGCAGAGGTAGGTTTGATGTAGGAATATGGTTATAACATCAGAAATGTGGACTTTCAGGTGGAAGAGCTTGACTCGTTTTCATAAAACAAATGAAAAGATCTTTAAATACATTCATTCATTTATTTTCAGTAAGCGCTTCTAATGTTAGATGTTGCGGGGGGGTGCTGGAGCCTATCCCAGCTGACATTGGGTGAGAGGCAGGGTACACCTTGGACAGGTCACCAGACTATCACAGGGCTGACACATAGAGACAGACAACCATTCACACTCACATTCACACCTACAGACAATTTAGAGTCACCAATTAACCTGCATGTCTTTGGACTGTGGGAGGAAGCTGGAGCACCTGGAGAAAACCCATGCTGACACGGGGAGAACATGCAAACTCCGCACAGAAGGGCTCCCCTACCCCAAGGTTCAAACCCACCACCTCGGGTTCTAACCAGGAACCCTCTGGCTGTGAGGCGACAATGCTAACCACTGCACCAGCAAGCCACCCATGTTGATGGCAATTAAAGGATAGTGCACCCAAAAATGAAAATTCAGCCATTATCTACTCACCCATATGCCGAGGTAGGCTCAGGTGAAGTTTTAGAGTTCTCACATCACTTGCAGAGATCCAAGGGGAGAGGGGGTAGCAACACAACTCCACCTAATGGAGGCTGACGGCGCCCCAGATTCAAACGTCCAAAAAACACATAATTGAAACCACAAAATATCTCCATACTACTCGTCCGTAGTGATCCAAGTGTCCTCAAGTGTCCTAACCCGACATAAAAAGTTGTTTGGAAAAACGTCATTTGAATTCTATTTTTAGCCTCATTGTAGCCTGTAGCTCTAACTGCCTCTCTGTACACTGCGTTTTTCCAAACAACTTTTTATGTCTGGGCTTCAGGACACTTGAATCACTACAGACGAGCAGTATGGAGATATTCTGTTGTTTCAATTATGTGTTTTTGGACATTTGAATCTGGGGCGCCGTCAGCCTACATTAGGTGGAGTTTTGTTGCTACCCCCTCTCCCCTTGGATCTCCGCAAGTGATGTGAGGACTCTAAAATTTCACCTGAGCCTCCCTCGACATATGGGTGAGTAGATAATGGCTGAATTTTCATTTTTGGGTGCACTATCCCTTTAAGGCCTCACAGATTCAAATTTAGAATAGTTTTTAAGAAATTTAATAACATTCAAGACCCAACATTTAAAAAATTGAATTTAAGGCATTTTAAGACTTCAAAGACCTGCAGACCCAGATCATGCACACTTTCTTTCACCCACCAACATCGCTCTGGCATTAGAGGGAACAATTAAGTTTTCCTTAACAGAAAGTTGAACCTGAGCAAGTCCCAAGTTTTGCATAGATCAATTCATGAACCCTTGCTCAATTTTCTTTGTGAAGTTTCCATACTTCAATCTTGCTTGGATGGGTGGCAATTAAATTGCTATAACTGCTTTTAAAGTTCATTGTTAGGCTTGGTTCTGACCAACATCCTACTTCATGATAACACTACAACGAGTGAATAAAATGAGTTGTTATCGCAACATAATCACAAGTTATTGTGTTCTTGATGGCCGACATGTTTACTCACCTGCTGCCCTCGGTCACACTTGAAAACACACTTTAACTGAGTCAGCATAAACTATGCCTTCTGGTAAATTATTCATAACACTATGTCAAGAATGAACGCACATCAGATGTCACTGTTTGTGTGCAGATAAAAAAAAGCCAGTGAGTAATTAAGAGCCTGAAGACGCCTAGTATCCCTTTCAAAAAACAAAAATGTAACTGTCATGCAACCATTAATGATACACGAATGGCTAAAATGTGACTGGACGGTCAAAAACTGAGCTTTGAATTAACCAGGCGGTCACATATTTATAAATCTGTCAGAAGATCATGATCAGTGGAAGATGGATCTATCCGTTTCTAGCCACCACATCTACATTATTTGTAAGGCAAGAAGTATTTAGCAGTATTATTACTAACCATGCCCTTGAATTATGCCTGCAGAGCCAGGCGGAGGGCTCTGGTTGGGCTGTCTGAAGAGGTGGTTGCTGGGATGTGTTGGCGGAGGGCTGGAGGGCTGGATACGCAACCTGAGGGAGGACAGGACAGAGTAGGAGAGGAGAAGAGAGAGATACGACAATGATGTAACACTTCAGTCGATAGCACTGCACCACAGTATCAACTTCATTGTTCACCGTTCAATAGCTGATGAGTAATACGTGTGTGTGCGCACGCACGCATGCCTGTGTGCGTGTGTGTGTGTGTGTGCGCGTTCACCTCTGGAGCTGGTGGGTTAGGTGACTGGGCTGGCTCTCTCCATGGCCTAAAGACAGACCCTGCAGGTAAAGAGAAATTAAATTTTACGCAAAACTTCAGATGTGGTTGTGACTATGTGAGGCTGACTGGATAAGATGATATAAGTGCTGATGAAAAGTGCACGTGTCCCAAAGAAAGGAATCAGGTTGAGGACACAAATGAGGCCACGTCGCAGGATGTCCAAGCCTCAGGTGACCAAAATCAATAGCACCTTCTATGAAGCTTACATCGATACTTTATAGATAACCACACAGTTCATCATAATACATGCATAATGTAAGAATCGCCATTAGCTTTCACAGTGCTGTACACGCATGCTCACAGTGCTTTACAGGGTCAAGTAACGCAGCTTCACTGATCCTGCATAAAAGGTTAGAACAGTTATAAACACGGAGCGTTCTGTAACTATGATGCACAGAGAGAGTAGTTTTGGCTTGTGATAACATCTTTATGAGTCATTTGTCAGCTTCAAATACCTGGATTTGCTGGTGGAGGATTTGTTGCTCTTGCTGGTAGAGGATATGCTGTTGCTGGGTGTGCTCCAGGAATCGCTCATCCTGCTGGGCAGCGTACATTTTCTGGAGCTGCTCACACTCCTATTGGGAACAAAGACATGGTCCGCAAACGTTAAACCTGCATGCTAACAAAAGAAAGTCAGTTCATGTGAGGGCGATTTATTTGATCCAGAAATGTAGTCAATCCTTAAACAAAAAGTGATTCAACAACAACTGCAATTTGGCTTTTTCAATCTCACCAGGGATGGACCATTGTAACAAAATCTTCAGCATGTAATTCTTGTGTTGCCAGAATAAGAAAATATCAAGAGTAATTCAACAATTCATCAACAGCAAGAGGGAACATGTTACCCTGATACTATAGGGATGGGACTCTGAACACTTTTATTGCAGATTACGATATAAAACACACAATAAGTTGATTGTGGTGAATTTTAAGCAACAGGATAGTCATGAGTATCGGGTCCAGCAGCACCCAAAGAGTCAGGGATTGCCAACAACACTTGGCTGGAGCAAGTAAACTCTGAGTCAGGCAAGTGGAATACCTCTCGGAGTTATCTGATCAGGCAAGTGACAAATAAATGTGATGTCTAATGTAACGTTATCTCAAAATGACCCGAGACTGTACTGCTGAAGTTTGAGCTTTTCATGCTGAGCTGTGTGCGCACAACGCAGCGATGAACAGCACTGATGAGAAAACTCTGACATACTGGACACTTCAGAAGTTAACTCTGGGGTCAACGACGTCATCTACAAGTAAAGTTACTAACGCGAAATATTAGGGGTGTAACGGTACACAAAAATCACGGTTCGGTACGTACCTCGGTACACAAGTCACGGTTCGGTTTTTTTTCGGTACAGTAATGAAAAAAATAGACAACTATTAAATATCTTTTACTTATTGGTAACCTTATTAAAAACATACCACCACAGCAGTTAACTCTTTTTACACAATTTTTGAATGAAACAAATATATATATAAAATCCTGCTTTTTCACACTGTTTGAATGAAAATAGAAATATAAAAGTGAAAAATAAAATCCTGCTGTTTTAACACATTTTTTGAATGAAAAATGTAAATATAAATTTCTGCTTAAACAGTTTTACTCAAATAAAATAAAAAGTATAGTGCAGCTGGTCAGCTTTAAAGCCTGCTCAGATTCAGTTTTAATAGGAACTTACTTAGCTTTCCCACTTTGTTAAAGTGCAGTAAACAAAACATGCTTATATCTAAAGTGCAGCTTAAACAATTTTACTCAACTCCAATGGCGTTGGTTATTTCTTTAGTACGATGGTCAGGGAAACGCTCTTTCTTTTTAAACGACGACGACATCGTAGTTTGCACCAGATTGCTATTTCTAGTCGTGCCGGTTAACGTTCAAACTCGGGTGGTGTCGCTTTAGATGCGTTAGCATGTTAGACGTGTTTCCAAGTACATACCCGACCGCTGTTCTGCAGTGTCAGCACACTGCTTTTGTCTTGTCAACTAGTTTATTTCCATCTTCGTATTTTACCCTGAAACCAAAGTGTTCCCAAATGGAGGACTTAAGGTTTGCGGGTCTTCAGGTTCGTCAGGCTCACTTGCCATGTTGTCAAAATGCGAGAATGCGCTGCACAAAGTGAAAGCGGAGAATTACGGTCGGACTCGGTCCGTTACTCAATTATGTCCGTCGGGGAACTAGATATTTTAAATGGTTCGGCTTGCAAAAACGGAATTAAAATAAAATAAAATAAAATAAAATAATGTCCTGCGCCCAATAATTCGGTACAGGGTCGTGCCAAACCCAAAGTCGCGTACCGAACGGTTCGACACAAATACACGTATCATTACGGCTCTACTAAATATCTCTAAACGCTGCATGCAGCACTTAATTTTTTTTTTTTTGCCCAAAAGCTAACGTTAGATGTCATGCCGTTTCAACAAGGGCTCCGGTGTGATTGTGTTTCTTTCAATCAAACACTTTTGGGATTAGTTAGATTTTTTTTTCATTTTGAAAACCAGTATTGATGTTGTTAGCTGTTCCTACTGTGTGTCCATGGTGAGTCTTGACAAATCTGAGGGTGACTTCCTGACTTGTTGACCAATCTGAGGTTGTGTTTCTGACTGTGTGGCAGCCAACAATAAAAGAGACTCTGCAAAAACAGGCTGCAAATGCACCAACCTCAAAACCTCACTTGAGCATTGACAGATTTCATATCGGAAGATAAGATGCCGCTTAAAATAAATAATAAGCCTGGCTTTAAAAGATTGTTTGTTGATTATCAGGATGATTGATTATCAGGATACCTAAAACTGCAATTATTTTGACCAGGATAATCGTGATATGAGATTTTCATATCACTCTGAGCCTCCTTCATACATTATATGTTACAATATTTCTGAGAAATCACCATCTTGCTTGCAATTTCAACTGCAGCGGCTCGTAGCACTAACCATCATATTTAAACAGTTTCTATGCAAACTGTACTTCGTGATCAATTAGCTCATGGTGTTTAGTGTTCAGAGGCAACACTTTCATCTACGTTCCATCTCCCACTGGAAGTTTAACACCATGTGGCATCATCTAGCTCACTGATGTCCTGAAGCTGGTCAAATAGCATGAACACGGTGTACTCATACAATTAAGCTAACACTGTGGTTAATTAACTACATGTTAACAACGTGTAGTTAATAAAACTAATTGTGCAACAACTAAAAGTCCTTATTTTCACACAGCGCAAGAACAAACCAATTTCCTGCTTCATGCAAGTGAGATGTTGGAACCTAATGGCCCTGACCACTTTGTGAAGAGCAAACTCATAACAACAATGGGCTTGTATGGCCACCTACAACACGTATGATGCACTCTGAGGTCGTTTAATCTGCACTTGTTTCCTTCCAGTTTTAAAATCTGCAACTTCAATAAACACGAGTCTAGGCCATGTGTGTGTTAACCTCCTCTCTACCCACATTAACCCTCTTAACACTCCACTGATGACAACCCCAGCACGTCAGAGCATGCCTAAGATGAAGCACCCACTGTGAACATGATGATTATCTTCCCTACCGATGCCTCCTACTGGGTGAGGTAATCCCAATGCAGTGTCACTGTGAATGATGTGATGTCTCAAGAACCAACTTGAGGTTTTCTCAGGTCAAAGACTCAGCATGGGATGACCTCAGGAAATACTGTATGTCAAGATTACAGTGAGTCTAAACTGTGTCGGTGAAAATGCTCCGAATGGTTCACCTAGTTTACACTTTCAATGTCAATAACTAAAAGCAAAAAAGCAGGATATAGATTAGCTTAGCAATATTTGGAGTGAATGCTCACATGACACTGTTGCTGCTTCTCACGAGCTGACGTTCATCCCTGTCATCATGATCCATCAACACTTTCATTTTAATCATTTTTACATGTTCATTTGTGAATACACTTAATGGCGCTATGTCTCAAAATATCTTACAGATTTCCTTATATGCTGACAGCTTGAGATAAGATGTTTTAATGCTGTTACTGTATTGACATGTATATTTGTCGACTGAAACACGAGCAGAATTTTTCCATTTGTCACTTTCCCCTGTTGGCCACAGTTACTGTCAATACTTTCCAAAGCTAAGTCCCTGCTCTGCCAGTTCTGCTGCTCCCATCCTCAGATCTGACCATCGTATCATGTCCAATTTTGCTACTTTAAATCCAGTTGATTCCTCTTGTAGCATTGCTGGTCAATGAGTAAAAGTCCCTCCTGTTGTGAACTGTTTCACCTCTCACTCTGTTAACCCCTGCTCTAATCTTAGTATACCATCACCGTGCCACTCACAGGATAAGACTTTATCCCTGATGCTGGGACATCAGACGCTCCTAAAGACCTGATTTAAACTCCATGACTCCAAACACGGTTAGTCAGAGATGATGAATAGCACTAAAGCTGTGTTTCCACCAAACAAGTGTGGTATAGTACCATCAGGACCTGTACCTAAACCGTAGATCTGTTTTGCATTTCCACTGCAGATATGTAGCGACTACTATCAATGAAAAAAAGCTGCTAAGAGGCTGAGGTGGCTTGTTCAATAAAATCCACGCTTAAGTCCAAAGACGTGTTTTATGGTGGTTTATTAAACAAATGACTGAATGACTAAAGCAAAATGAGATGAAGCAAAATATCACGTGATGTGTTTAGGATCAACAGAAAATATCAGAGCCTTGTCTAAGAAGTCGCCCAGCCAGTGAATGAACAGGTAAAATAATGTGACTCCACACCCCTGTGCCAATTACAGCTACCGGAAGTGAAAGTGACGAAAAGAACAAGTGTGTAGCCTACATAAATAATAACTAAACAGAGGTAAAATACATATTCTGGCTCTCAAGGCCCTGACACACCAAGCCGACGATCGGGCGTCAACCAAAGTCGGGCCGTCGGTGAGTGTCTGTCGCCCTAAAAACGGGATGGATAAAGAGGTTCTACTGGTACCATCCACAACTTTTGACAATGGATATATATATATATATATATATATAAAAACCTTCTAATGTGTTACGAAGTCAACTGAACCAGACTGCTTGGTGGAAATGAGGCTTATGCATTCTCACGTCAACACTGTAATTCTAGGAATAAGCTAACGAACTAAAAAAAGAACCACAAAATGATTCTGGTTATTTGAAAACCATCACACAGGTCTAGTGAGTGACTGCTCTTATACCGACTGCTGCATCACTGAATCTACCTCAGCTTATAAAGCAGACTTGCAGTGCCAATAAACTTTTATTTGTATTCCCAAGACTCCAAATTGCATCAGACTAGCAGCAATGTATCACTATTTCTGCACATTCTGCCTTGGGAGCCAAATGTGTTGCATCACAGTGTGCAGTCCTCTTTCTGTGAGCAGCTGAAAAGGCAGGGTGGTAGGGGGGTGGGGGGAATTTCTGAAATTTCAGCACCTGGTAAAGTAATTGTTGAGTCATTGGTATTGATCAGTAACCATATCGACCCTCTGCAGAAATGTTGCCTTATTTTCTCCTAAAAAAATGAACCCAATATATCTTTCCATAAAGCTAAGCAAGCAAGAAAAGAGCAGATGATATCTCGATATTAAAAAGAGTGATGTACCTGTTTGAGTTGCTTAATGAGGCTGCTGTTCTCTAGATGAGCCTTGAAGGCTTGGATGGTGGCGGCGCCATCAGAAAACCGTCTGACAGGGGAGAAGCGCTCCATGGGGAGATGAAGAGTGTTACAGTCCTTATAGCTGGATCTGAGAAGGGGACCACAGGGAGCAGACACAAACATGCGTGTACACAAATACACACACACCCACACACAAAGACACAGCATGACAGATAACAGACACATTGACACACACACACACACACACACACACACACACACACGTGTTCATTCATACAGACACAGAAACAAGACACATGAGAAGCTTGAGCTCTTCAATCCTGTGCAAAATACGTTAAAGTTAAACATCTGACTGTGATTTACTGAGTGTAGAAAACATTAAGACCCCCATATTCACAAAACTGATATGTCAAACGGATCTAGCAGCGATCATTTATATGATTCCATCTGTCCTGTCAATCATGACAGAAGAGAGGTTATAGAGGGAGTTTTAACTTTGAAGAGGAACTGTGCAAAATTGGCTACAGCTGGTCCTAATATTTTTAAGAGCTGCAGAGTGACTTCAATTGCTATCATTTAAACCTTTGTACTTATTAACAGCTGAAGTCAAAGAGACAAAATCTTTTAGAATAATAACTGCCACAGCTGATCATCAGCTACAACATAAGCTCCGTTATATACATACCATTGGTAATGAAAGGTCATCTAAGGTCAACACTGCTGATATGGAATTTGAGAAAATAAACTACTTTTCGTTACACAGTCAAGAGCACATGAACAACTATGAGTTAGCATGCAGATGGCCAGCAGATCCCAACATCTGCTCACCATGAAGTATTCCATTTGCTCGCCATGAAGTATTCCATTAAAAAGATGCAGCTTCTATCTTTCATATCTACTGAAGTTCACCAAAGCATGATTCTTTCTTTAACAGGCACAAACTTCCTCATGTGAAGCCATATTTTAGACACCAGGTTCTCCCTACCACTGCATCCAAATACAAAACTGCACCTTGTGTCTCAAAAGACTTTCTGAACTGAGTTGGAGAGAAATGATTCTCATGGGAGACAACATCTAGAACTGGATGACACCAAGACACAAAAATATGGCCACTATTTGAGAAAGAATACACAGAGGTAATGATGTAGCTTTGGGGGTTGCTCATACGGGACCAATCTACTAATTCTGAACCGCTCACATACCTGCTCTTTCCACGTTTATGGGGGAGAAAAAATTACTTTGAATTGAGGTTTACTGTTGATGTGGAGATATGTCTGTCCTGTGCCGCACCCTCCACCTCAAACACCACTACTGAAAAATACCCTTCCTCTTTGGAAGGTGTACAACTTTCGCTTGGTGAGAGTACATCCTCACCCATGTGTGTGTGAGATGAGCTTTGTGTGCAAGTGAGTTTGTGTGTGTGTGTGTGTGTGTGTGTGTGTGTGTGTGTGTGAGAGAGAGAGAGAAAAAGAGTTCGGCTCAATATGCCCCTCATTTAAAGTGAGTCTGTGTGTTTGTGTGTGTGTGTTTGTGCATATACAGCTCGGAGCGGGCGTGTCCCCTCACCGGGTGTGTGTGTCGGGGGCCCAGCCCCCCCTCTGGCGGGGGCCCTGGGGCCGCTGTGACTCTGCCGAGGGCTCGCCATGCGATGTGCTCATGAGCGCGTGCGTCGTGTGCCGCTTGGAGCGGTTCGCCAGGTACCTGGGCCGCAGGGAGGGGGAAGGAACGGGGGTGAGGGTGGGAGACAGGAAGCAGCGCTGGTCAGCTCTCTGTCCTCATTGGCTAATGGAGACGGGGGGAAAGGCCCGCCCCTTCCCACCTCTGCCAATGGGTGCCATCATTCATATCATCTTAGCCAATCAGAAAAACATAAAATAAAATTACACCATGGATGGATGTTATAGCTTATGGGTATCCCACAACCCCCCAGCTTCCAATTTAAGGAAAGAACTGGATGCCTTTGTCTTTTAATCATTGATTTTTGCAAGCTTCAGAGTTAGCAAAGCTGTGTGAGAAAGAGTGAGAAAGTCTGGAGAACAATTTGGCACTTACTGAAATGGAAGAGATAAAGAAGCTCTTGGCCAAAGAGTTTGAAAGATAGGAGGGCTGGCTTTGGTGGCAGATTCAGTTTGGAACTGTGGCATAAGGCACTTGCGCGATGGAGAAAGGAGGAGAGATGGGGTAAGCACCACAGCAGAGTGGCCACCTCCCATGGGGAAAAAAGCAGAGCAGCCTAGAGGCACTCACTCCCAGCAACCCAGGACACCAGCGAAGTCTACAGAAGGTGCTGTGTGAAGAGGACCAACTGGGAAACCCTAACCTGGACTTCTAAAGCCAACATTACACCTCCATGTTCCCAACCTGTGCCTATCCCTACCCAAGGCCTGATCTCAGCTTCCTCTACATAAAAGCTTTGATTACAAGTCTATTAACCTCCACTGTGTGCTTCTTATGTGTTGAGTAAGCTCAGTGTGTGTTGCTTGTTTTGTATTCAAAACATTAGCTGGATTCAACACATCCTTCCTTTTACTACAGGAAATGCATGTCACTAGCCTGATATGTATGGAGGCCTGAGTTTACTACAGCTACTGTGTCGTTTTGATCAGCTAATATTACAAACTGTTCATAAAACTGATGCTTTGAGTAAATTACTGACATTACTAAGCTATTAAGCTAGCCGAATTCCCACTTCAACGTTCATACAGAACCCACCGACCTGTTGTCACAGGTTACAGGCCCTCCAGAGTATCCAGTTTAAACAGCACCTCTGTACAGTATACCCCTTCACCAAAAACTGTCATCGTGGGTTACCTCTGTACTGCCTCTTGGTCTGGCTCTCCATCTGAACCCTCCTCGTCCACCGGAGCTACTGCAGGGATAGGGTGCTAAGAGAGGCAAAGAGTTTACCAGTCAGCACTCCTACAGTTTAAACAAGGAGAGAATATACAAACTGCACGCACACAAAAAAGATCCTCACCGGGTTGGCAACAAGTGGCGAGGGCCCCCGGGGCCTCTTGAGGAGTTGAGCATGTAGTTGAATGTTAGCCCCGCCGTCGGAAGCTCTTCGACCGAGAGGCCCCATGCCGTTGAGCAGCTGCAGGGTAGGTGGCTGCAGCAAGGACTGCTCCTGGAGGATCAGCAGACACAAGAAGTCAGACCGGTTCATACTTAGATCGTCTACGTGCAGGTTTCTGCAAAGTAACTGATGACTTCCAGAAGTGATGTCAACTAAATGACGACAAGTTGTGTAACACAAGTGACTGTACCTTGTACTCCAGCTGCTGTGTGGGCTGCAGGCTCTGTGTGGGCATGAGAGTGTGCATTTGGCCCATAGTGGGGGCCAGTGGGGGGAAGGGGGGCTGGGGCACTGCACCACGAGGGAACCCTGGCGGCAATTTCTGAAGGTCTTCCGGCATCTCTGTCCTGTGGTGGAGAAGAAAGAACAACAGGAGGGCATTAGTGGCTATGTTTATGTGCTAGAAACTAGAAATACGTATAGTTTGTTTTAGCTTGTTTGTGATAATTTGCTATTGGCCGAGCTAGCACGCTGTGCTTGTGTAAAAATGCTGCGGATGAAAGAGTGCAGCCAGAGCAGACTGAAATATTGCTTTTCTGCAAGTTTACATGTTTGTGCTTTATGAACAGCAGTGTTCTGATAAAGGACTGGCTTTTTACTTACAAACGTTTTATTTCACTTATGGTAATGAGAGTAGCTGGAGGAGCTCAGCCGGAGAGCAGAGGAGAGGTGGCAGCATTATAATAAATTTGAGTTACACCAAAATGTTAAAAAGTACCAATAAAAGTACTGGTGACGTTGAAGCTTATTAATAATACTGTCTTTAAAATGTAGCTGAGGGTTATAAGTTGAGCCTATATTAATGTAGGTAATATAATAATAACAAGGAGGCTGCACTGTCTGAACCAAGTTGGAAAAACAGCAGCGCATTAAAAGATTCACTCTTTTCATTTTACCTGTCACATGAAAAACCAAGACATAACTTAACCACTGCACCACCTCAAATGCATGTAATTTCAAGCACATTTCTCTTTTTGCATTCACTGATGGACCAAATAATTCCCTTATACAGAAATCTGTCTGTAGACTGAGCTCTTGCACCCATGAGATTGAAGAGTTGTGTTTTACCTTTGGTCTGGTACTCCCACAGTGTGCCGCCTCATCGAAAGATAGCGAGCCATGGCCTCTGGAGATGGTTCCTCCCCTTCATCACTGTCCAGTGCCATGCTGCCATCCGGCTAAACAATAAATACACACACACACATATCTGGTCATTAGTAATGCCCTTTGGTAGTGTGTGTGTGTGTGTGTTGCATGCTTGTGTACATGTGTAGCAAAGTATCAACAAAAATGTATTTCAATACTAATATACATTTTTCAGAGTTCAAGTCTTCTATTAAAATCCCTGCTGCAATGCAGTAATCTGACGCATTCTTGTGTTTCACAGCATTTGTGAGTCAGCTTTGAGGCTGTGTGTGTTCTGTTTGAATGTGGCTGCATGTATGCGTGATTGTGTGTCTGATTATAGTCTGTGAGATGGATCCCAGGCAACACTAACAGTAGTGAGCTGTTAACTGTAGTCAGCCATAAAAAACTGGTAAACCAGTGATTACAAGATGCAAATCATTAAAAATATGAAGACAGGCTGCTGTTGTGTTGACTGATGCACACTACAAAGGAGTGGTGCATCAATTGCCTGCTGGGTTAAAGGACAACTTTTTTTTTTTTTTTTACCAGTTAAACTCCGCGAGTAAGAGGTGGTTAAAATTAGATTTCAACTCCATTAACAAAAGTTGTGCCTAGTCCTAGCTTGCTTATCAAGCATGATGACCCTTTCTGCTGGCCAGGCATTGCTAGGGTGATGCAACCGTGTCGACGGCATCGATGACTCACCTCAACTATCTGGTTCTCTGGGTTGATGAGCTGGACATGAGGAACGGTCATGCTAACAGGATTACCCTGTGGATCCGTCTGCCGGGCATGTAACACACACACACACACACACACACACACACACACACACACACACACACACACAGGTCGTGTGAGGATTATACTAATTTTCTAGCAATCTCATTACTGCAGTGGGATTGGCAGATGTGGGTTAAAGCAATCAATTCCACTCAGCAGACAAACACATTGACTACTGTAAGTCAGAGTGATGAAACCATCATGAAAAAGAAAACAGTTTAAGGCACTTTTCAACAAAACCACTCTTCAAACTCTAATATTTAGCCGCTCCTTCTATGACAATAAAGAAGCTCTTGATATGACGACATATCCACAAAGACTTAATTTCTATATATATAACCAAGTAATTGTATAGACAGATACACATAGCAATCTAGAGTTCAACTGAACTGCCTTCAAGCGTCTATAATTACTTACAATATTCATATGTTGTTTATATCTTTAATGGCCAAAATCAAAAAAGAAAGGGATGACAGCTCCTTCTGTAATCGATTGTGTTAAATGGGCAGTTAATATCATTTCATATTGATCATCGGCCACTAAATCGCACTGAATCGAAGTCGTATCGTTGCAGACTTTGTAGTATCAGCAAATATCATATTGTTGTCCGGAAAATCGATACAACATCGTATCGTGATGAAACTGGTGATTTACACCCCTAATGCCAACATCAGTGGACAAAGAATTACCTGAACGGCGTTAAGGGGATAACTAATAGAGCGAGGCGTGGGCGGGGCAACACGCAGGGTCTTGTGTTTCTTGAGGCGGTCGGCCAGCAAACTGTAGATGGCACTGTAGTGATCGTATGCATCTGTTTGTAGGGACTGGAGAAGAAGAGGCGAGATAAATGTAAGTAAGTTAGGACTGCTGAGATTACTTAACAGAAGGCATCACTGAGACTAGATTAGTCTAAGTTGGCTACGTATTTGTGTCCAACCTGAAGGGTGCGTTCTCGGTCCAGGCCCATCTCACACATGGCTATCAGCACCTGCTCGTTGATGAGCTCCGTCTCTCTCTCAGTCTTCACCTGCTCACACTCTGCTATCAACTGGAGAGGACATACGATGAGGGGGGATCAGTGTCACATGTCAAACTTACTTGGCATCTCTGCAATTGTGGCACACACTAAGGCTGTCAAAGAGGACACTGAAGTCATCAAATTCTACTGATAGTTGCAAAAAGATATAAAATAGACAGTATGGGAGGAACACAATTAAACCACACCAAGGTGGACAACTGGGCAGAAATTATTTGGGTAAATTTCTTTGGGTAAATAATCATTTCTAGAGGGGTCTCACCCTGTCGAAGTCTGGGTCTGGATCTCCTAGTCTCATCCACTTGTTCTTACAGATCTGCTCCATGGTCAACCTTCTGCTGGGCTCCAGCACTAACATGTGTCTGATCAAGTACTCACAGTCTGCAATAACACACACACAAACACACAAGAGATGACACCACTCACAACATTATAAATCAAAGCAATGTGACTGTTGGGAAAACATGCAGCGGTACAGTAAAAATGCCAGCAAGCATTTACTAGCTCAAATAATTTGTATTATTCATTGAGAGCATTATTACATGTTTTATGTTTTACAATACTTTTTTATGTTAAGGAACTCCAGAAGCTTCAATTGTGTCTCCTAGTTGTCTTAATGTCAGAAATGAGTATCTCACATGACAAAGAAAAACACAATTTCAATCAAATGTATCAACATAAATTCATGCTGACAAAAGCCACTACTGAGGGTGCCCTGTGGAGCTTTGACCACTAGGAGTGCTATGGAGCAATGTTTCTGTGAGGGGATCCTTGTTTTGTTTGTGTGCACCATAGACTAAAAAACAATGGACTGTGATGTCACCCATTGGTTTGTGGACTCCTGTTTTGAAGCCTTGGCTGAAACCAAATGTCCTGACATCACATGTAGAGTCGCTGACTATGAGGGCGCGTTCACAGGAAGTCTGGGAGTGCTTAAGGCTGTCCAAATCCGTAATTCAACAAGTCCACAAAGGGCCTTAAGTGGACTAAAAACAAAACTGACATGTATGTAAAACAGTTGCTGTAGCTTATTGAAACTATATTTGAATCGGTAGGGCAGAAATAATATTTAACAACATCATGATACAGAAATATGTAGAAATATTGGCTGCAGGGGGAAATTCAAGCTCATTCGAGTAAAGTAAAAACATTCGAGGGCTGTCTATGCAGATTTTACGTGATAACGGTGAACTCGTCATAGTACGTACAGTCTGCAAGTCCAGAGGATGGACATTTGGATTCGGCCCTTGAGTTTGGCATATTGGCCCTCCATCTTGTTTTTTGGAGTTAGAAGTGACTATATTTGGACGAAAGGGTGGAGCTATGGGGGAGTGAGCTGAGAATTTGACTTACAGGCTGTGGTAAGCCTGTCACTCAAAGCATCCTTGCCCTTAATTAGGTATAATTTCAGGCCTTTATAATATGTAAAAGGGTGAGTTATGTAAAAATTCAACCCCTGTACAGTCGTCATGTAAGTTGTAATTAGTTGTAGAGACAAATACCTTTTTGTACCAGGCTGTAAACATGTTTATTTCTGCTGTAAAGTCTCAGGGGATTGACTCAGTTCCGTACCCAACCTCAAGTGGCCATTAGAGGAACTGCCGTTTAATGACACTTCCGCTTTGGCTCCATTTTTCAGCTCTGGTGGTTGCAGCTTGGTGTGCAAACACACACGAGTGGGACAATTCACATCCTGCCATCTGTGTTACACTATTCCTCTGATCAACAGTCTGTGGCTGAAATGCCCCAGCTAACATAATGATGCACTTGAAAAGGCAGTGACGAAGACTGCTAGCATGTGGATATAAATACTGAACAGTGCATTGCAAGAAAATGTTCTATGGGAGAGGAAATGCACACAACACATCCACTGGACCTCAAGGATACATACAGTGTGTTTGAAGAGACACACTAAGAACATAACTTTTGTTTGTTGACAAGAAAAGTCCACCGGGCGCCCTTAATGGCAACCTGTCAAGGTAACAGTGGTGCTTGACACTACAAAAATTGACTTTGGTGAAGTATCACTTTGTAATTCGCTTGGCCCTCGAGCTAATGACATCTTTAGCTGATGAAGGCATGGTCTGGAGGAGGAAGTAAAGGGACAAGGGAAAGAGTAAGAGTTGACTAGAGTCCTACCTGTGGACATGAAGAAGGGGATGCGGAACTTGCCGCTGAGGACACGCGCCCGCAAATTTTGTAGAGTGCTGCCGTCGAAAGGCAAGGCGCCGCACACCAATACATATAACACCACACCTAAGCTCTGTAGAGAGAAAAGGCAGCGGGAAACAAACCATGAGTGCATAATTTTTAAACAGGAACTTTAACAAACAATTCTTTTAAACATTAATAAATCTAGAGCGCTACAGGATACTGAAGAAGGTGGATATTTTATTTTAGGAAAAATATCTTTCAGGGCCTCATTCATTCAGGATCCTTTTTTTGTCTTCAAGCCATGTAGCTACACCCTCTACTGCAGCCCAACGGCGCTTTATGCATACCTAACAGTCTACTCACCCATATATCTACTTTAGGTCCGTCATACTCCTTGCCCTCAAAGAGTTCTGGTGCGGCATAGGGAGGGCTGCCGCACCATGTCTTCAACAGCTGTCCTCGAGAAAACAGGTTACTGAAGCCAAAATCTGACAGGGAGGAGAGGAGAGGTTCACTCAATCTTATCACTTTACTTGACAAAGTAAAATCAACCAACCCTGGAAAACGCTCCAAAAGTACGTGTTGACACTTGCCTACACCCACTCGCCAAGACAGCCCAAAACCACTAAATTAAGTTTCCCACCCAAACATTCTTAAGTGCAAACACACACACTAACACACACCTGCGATTTTGATATTGAGGTTGTGGTCCAGCAGCAGATTCTCAGCCTTCAGGTCTCTGTGGACAATGTTGCGGCAGTGACAGAAATGGACCGCTGCCACGATCTGTTTGAACTTCTTCCTGGCGTCCTTTTCCGCCATACGCCCATGAGCCACCAGGTGGTCTGCACACACACACACACACACACACACAATGTTAAGTTTAAAGATTTATGATCCTAAGTTGTATCTTTAGAAATACAGAAAGTGAAGACTGAGGCTGTTCTGATTTAGCCTAATAAATCACAACATTAAATCATCAAGGAGGGATATTTTCATCCTTTAGAAAGCAGAGAAATGGGACATAGGAGACGAGGCATGACTCAGAGTGTCAGAGACACATTATCTACAAATAAGTAGCACAATAGAAAAAAGGAAGATGAAATCAAGCCGTTAATTTTTTTTAAAAAAAATTTTTAAGGCAATTCAAGAAGAAATGAACATGCAGAGCAAACAAACCAATCATGATGGTTAAAAAAAAAAAAAAAAAAATTAAACCTTCTTACAACCAAAATGTTAATTAGATCAAGAATGTATTTGGCAAAACTAACAGATATTTAATTTCTGTATTTATTTATGCAATTTTTTGTTTTGTTATTAGGGAAATAACGTGACAAAAAAAAGAATACAGACATAGAAGACAGACAGGACAGACGTATTGGACAGACGTACAGACGATACCATAAAGCAGTCATGTGCTGTTATAATAAGAGTCTTGTTTGAAATTTCAAAGACAGCTCTACAGTCTGTATTCTGAGACTGGTAAAAACACAATCTGTGAAGCAGAAGGAGAGGCAACGATAAAGACAATCCACATCAAGGCAACAGAGGGGAACTTCCTTACCGAATATCTCTCCACCGCTAGCGTACTCTGTTACCAGATAGATCATCCTCTCTGTCTCCATCACCTGAGGACATAAACAGATGATAACAACCAGGACCTACAGACCCTCTGACAACTCTGGGCCAACATCTAGTGATGGGCGGTTCACCCGTTACACAACAGAATGACTAAGCAGCGTTTGGCATTCACACAGGAAGATTTAAATAGAACAAAAACTGCCATTTACTCAGTGTAGCGTTCAACGTATGTACTGTGTGTGTGAGGGCTTCGACATTAGGATCAGATTATGTTTAAACTGCCGGGGGCTGTTTGAGACATGATGTAAAAGTTGGTTTGTGACAGGTTGGTTTGGTGTTACAATCCCCATAGAGCTGGAAAAGTCTGGCTGACTCTCTTCTACCGCAGAGTCTCACCAGAGCTAAGTTCTCAGGCAGAAGACTGTGGTTTTACTGGGTGGCCCCCCACATGTATAACAGGTACATTTTCCAATTAAATACCAACCAGTGGGTGAAACTGTAAACATCTTGTTACGGTTAACCCCATAAATATGGCAGGTAACATCAGATCCCACTAAACCAACACACATTGTATCCATCCCTTTTCCTACTGGGCCACGGGTCTCGGGTGTAAGATGTGAGCGGCGTGCGTTATCGGCTCTGTGGGTGAGTGTGAATGTGTACCTGGTAGAGGCGGATGATGTGGGGGTGCTTCAGCAACTTCATGATTTGCACCTCTCTGAAGATCTTTTTCAGGTTCTCGTCGTCCAGCTGGGTCTTATCCACTATTTTTATAGCCACCTGGAGACGGAGAGACAAGAAAGAGATGGAGGGAGGGATCAGGATGAATGATGAGAGAGGGCAAGATAAAGGAGGATGCAGAGAGGGAGGGAGGAAGCGTGGAAGACAGAAAGTGACGGAGACGGAGGGGAGAGTGAAAGAGCGAGGGAACAAGACAAGAAAAAAACATGTTATAAGACATGATATTTGTTTACCAGCTCTTGAGTGTTCAAAATACAGAGGATACAATAGGGATGTCAATGAATATTATAAAGTCCACTATATAATGGAAAACAGACATTAGGAAATGAAAATTAGAATAGAATAACATATCAATTATTAACTGTTCATCTGATCTCACTTCGAGACATCACATTTTCGGGTCTCACTTTAACACCAACCACAGAGGGAAGAAAAAGAAGGAGAAAGAGGTCTATGGTCTTTGAGTTAAGTATACAGTCAGGTCCATAATTATTTGGACAATGATACAGTTGTCGTCATTTTGGCTCTGTACACCACCACAATGGGTTTTAAATGAAACAATGAATACCTGCTTAAAGTGCAGACTCTCAGCTTTCATTTAAGGCTTTTTTCAAAAATGTAGTATGAACCGTGTAGGAATTACAACCATTTCTTCACACAGTCCCCCGACTTTAAGGGCTCATAAGTATTTGGACAAACTAACATAATCATCAATTAAACAGTCAGTTTTAATACTTGGTTGCAAATCCTTTACAGTCAATGACTGCCTGAAGTGTTGGACACACAGGCATCATCAGATGCTGGGTTTCTTCCCTGGTGATGCTCTGCCAGCCCTTTACTGCAGCCGTCTGCACTTCCTGCTTGTGTTTTGGGTGTTTTGCCCTCAGTTTTGGCTTCAGCAAGAGAAACGCATGCTCAATTGGATTCAGGTCAGATGATATGACTTGGCCATTGCAGAACATTCCACTTCTTTGCCTTAAAAATGTCTTTGGTTGCTTTTGCAGTATGCTTCAGGTCAATGTCCAACTGCACTGTGAAGCATCGTCCAATGAGTTTTGAAGCATTTGGTTGAATCTGAGCAGATAATGGTGCCCCAAACACTTCAGCTTTCATCCTGCTGCTCTTGTCAGCAGTCACATCATCAATAAATACAAGAGAACCAGTTCCACTGGCAGCCATACATGGCCATGACATAACAGTACCTCCACCATGCTTCACTGATGAGGTGGTGTGCTTTGGATCATGAGCAGTTCCTTCCCTTCTTCCTTCTCTTGTCTTCCCATCATTCTGGTAGTTGATCTTTGTTTTATCTGGCCATAGTATACTGTTCCACAACTGTACAGGCTTTTTAGATGATTTTTGACAAACTCTAATCTGGCCTTCCATTTTTAAGGCTAACCAATGGTTTGCATCTTGTGATAAACCCTCTGTATTTATTCTAGTGAAGTCTTGTCTTGCTTACAAGAGCAGCAGGATGAAAGATGAAGTGTTTGGGGCACCATTACCTGCTCAGATTCAACCAAATGCTTCAAAACTCATTGGACGATGCTTCACAGTGCAGATGGACATTGACCTGAAGCATAATGCAAAAGCAACCAAAGACATTTTTAAGGCAAAGAAGTGGAATGTTCTGCAATGGCCAAGTCATATCATCTGACCTGAATCCAAATGAGCATACGTTTCTCTTGCTGAAGCCAAAACTGAGGGCAAAACACCCAAAACACAAGCAGGAAGTGCAGACGGCTGCAGTAAAGGGCTGGCAGAGCATCACCAGGGAAGAAACCCAGCATCTGATGATGACTATGTGTCCAACACTTCAGGCAGTCATTGACTGTAAAGGACTTGCAACCAAGTATTAAATCTGACTGTTTAATTGATGATTATGTTAGTTTGTCCAAATACTTATGAGCCCTTAAAGTCGGGGGACTGTGTGAAGAAATGGTTGTAATTCCTACACGGTTCATACTACATTTTTGAAAAAAGCCTTAAATAAAAGCTGTAAGTCTGCACTTTAAGCAGGTATTCATTGTTTCATTTAAAACCCATTGTGGTGGTGTACAGAGCCAAAATGACCACAACTGTATCATTGTCCAAATAATTATGGACCTGACTGTATAAGACATTATTTTATTTGTTTATATTGTAATCTGCAGGTATGTAGATCTTTTCAAAGACATATTTATGTTGAAATAAATATACCTATACAGGTAGTTATGCCTTTTGTCATATTGCTTTGCCCTCCAATTGGCATAATGAAGATCAGGGATGCAGCCTTTGTCAATGATGCCCCAAAGCTATGGAACACACTACCTACAGGTATCAGGGAAGCTATCTCGCTAAATATTTTTAAAAAGAAAGCTAAAAACGTGTCTGTTCACTCTCGCCTTTAACTTGCTCTGACTTCCTCATACAGGTCTGAAACTCTTTCCATTTACACTTTTACTTTCTATTCACGCTTCACGCTGCTGCAACTCTTTTAAAATCTAATTTGATTTTATGATTTAAAGTTTTACAACTTTATGATTTTATGAATCAGTTTATCTATGTGTTTTAAATGTCCTTTTATATTGAACTGCCTTGTCTGTTTTCATGTGAAGCACTGCCCTTATTGTAAAGCACTTTGTGCTGCATTTCTTGTATGAAAGATGCTATGTAAATGAAGTTTATTATTATTATTATAATAATAATAATAAACAAAACAGATCGTTGATAGTTCATGTGTTTTGGGGGGGATTTTTTTGGAATGAATAATTGAGATTCATTTTGAGTAAATGCTGACAGCCCTGTAATACATCCACATTAATAGTATTTAGCTGACGCTTAAATTACAGGCAGCAAATCCAGGGCACAGTCCCAGTGCCCTTTCAATACTGCTATGATGACATAATAATCATAGAAGAACAAAGTGCCAAGAAACCAGCAAAACAGCTGAAGGGAGGCTGTGAGTCAGACAGACTCAATTTAACATGACCTGACACCTCTAATCCATTAACAAGCATGCAAAACAGGTAATAAACACAAATAATTATCTGCCACTGAGATAAAAACACAAGATACTGCGAGGAGATGCTGGCACTTCTTAAGGCGATGAAAGGCCAAACTGTGTGTTGTCAAACAGTGCTTTCTCCGGATTCCAGCTTGTTTGGGTAACGTGACCTGAGCCGTGACCTTCGACCGCGAGCAAGACTCTTGCGTAACGGCTGAGCCCCTGACAATGGCTCCGGCAGTGTGGACGGTGATGGTGTGTGACAGGAGCTTTGCGCTGCCACTTATGAACGGGTAGACGACTTTAATGACTTAATCAAGCGAAGCTAATGGGGCTGCCCCAAAACACATCTTTGTCCAAAAATAGATGAGAGGGTACAGTCTGAGCGCATGTGAAAAAATGAAAAGCATGCGTCCTGTGTTACCACACACACAAACAGCACCTCATCCGTTAAATTCCGGTAAGTGCCATCCTGAGCTCTCCCTTTCCTGATAACAGACATGAAGAAGGCCATCTGAAACCCAACAAGGGTGACTTCCTGTTGCAGACAGGAAGGGGAAGTAAGGGAGAGCGAAGAGAAGGCTCCTGGGAGAGCACAGAACCACATCTAACAGTGGCATTAATCCAGATCAGTGTGCTTCTGTGTGTAGTTTCCCTTGAATGGCAATGTACAACTGCTGAAAACGTGTACTGTAGTCGTCCTCACGTATTAATTTATAAAGACTGATGTCAGTTTACCGAAATTAATTTGATCGTTCAATTATGCAGTTTTTGTGGATGAGTTCCTAATTTTAAAAAATGGCGTTACATCCTGTGGGTTTATTTTTAATTAAAATAGTGGAGTGTCACCCAGCCTTAGGAAGCTTACAACCCAACCAATGAAGTTACACTGATGTTTATGCCAAATACAAGTCAAATATCAAGACACTGAACATCCGCAAGAAACAGAGATAAAATAAGTTTTATTCAAACACCCCTTGCCATTTATGTATATACGTATGTGCCTGGTAGGAATGTGCGTCGTTGTGATATTTTAAGCTCTGGGAATCTATTCTTGGCATTGGCAGTCATCCAGCTTTGTTGATGTAATTGCTCCCCTCTGCATCTTCTAGAGGGTAACAACAGGACAGCTGGATCACACATTCACCTCTACACTCACAGCGTATGCCAACATCTACACGTACACATCATGCTCAATTTGAGGACAATGAATCCTGAAAATGGGGAAAATTGGGCCATGATTACAATCGTACAGACAGAGGCTTGGTGTGTGTCTGAATACAAAAATAAAACCTTGTGGCAGGGAGATTGTTCAATGGCTAGATGACAAGATAGACAAATGGCACATTGGGACAGTTAGCCATCACTGTGGAGTTGCAAACATGTTATGTTTTATATATTGGTCAGTCAGCTGCTGTGTTTCTCCGACCACAGATTAACATGGCGGACAATCAATTAAGGACACAGCTTCATTTGCATCCCTAACAGGCATAGACATAGCTGGACAAGGGGGGATGCTAAATGGTAGGCAGTATTTTTGCAAAAAAATATACGACCTTTGTTCATCACAAAGGTTAGATTCCCAGCTTTAGCTCCAGCCAATGTACAGTAAAGCTTGCACTTCTAAGCTAGTTCACACTACACGACTTTTCCACTCACCAACAGTTTATGGAGCTACTCAACAAAGCCCCTGATTACAGGCAAATCGGCGTTACCTCAGCACTCACAAATTGGCGTGTGAGTGCTGTATATGAACTGGTCAAAGACACAAGCTAGATGTCTAGCTGGTTAAATACCTGGACCTGATGGTGAGCTACGACCAACAAGAGTGAAAGGCACAGACTGAGAGGAAACCTCTGTAAGGGGTCGCCTGTTACAGTAGGAACTTAAATGTATGTGTTGCATCTGCAGCACAGACTGAAGTTGCCGGTGCACCTTGAGGAAACAGGCTACAATTAGTGAGATGTGTGGAAACAGGCTATTTTGTGAACATGTGTGTCTGTGACAACAAAAAATCTGGTCTAACACACGGTTTTATGTCATTTCCCGTGTC